TGTTATACAAGCAACATGCATACTAGACATAAAAAAAACATATTTCTGAAGTTGAAATTATGTAAAACTGACATGCATCTCAACAATATTATCTTTTGTTATCATAATTGACTTCAAAAGACCACATATATACTGTTCTCGGAAAGTAAAACCCAGTTTTCGGCTTTTTGAGATAGTTTTAGACTGTTTTCGACTCAAGGTATATACATTGCATTAAATCAAGATTAACCCAGAAATTCATGATTTTTTTACTGATATATATTTATCACAACAAAACATGTTAATATTACAAATAAATGTTTTTAAAAAATATTTTCATGAAATTTCATTGATATATATATGAAGCGATAACGAATAAAATTGAGAATGGAAATGGGGAATGTGTCAAAGAGACAACAACCCGACCATAGAACAGACAACAGCAGAAGGTCACCAACAGGTCATCAATGCAGCGAGAAATTTCCGCACCCGGAGGCGTCCTTCAGCTGGCCCCTAAACAAATATATATACTAGTTCAGTGATAATCAACGCCATACTAAACTCCAAATTGTACACAAGAAACTAAAATTAAAAATAATACAAGACTGACAAAGGCTAGAGGCTCCTGACTTGGGACAGGCGCAAAAATGCGGCGGGGTTAAACATGTTTATGAGATCTCAACCCTCCCCCTATACCTCTAGCCAATGTAGAAAAGTAAACGCATAACAATACGCACATTAAAATTCAGTTCAAGAGAAGTCCGAGTCTGATGTCAGAAGATGTAACCAAAGAAAATAAACAAAATGACAATAATACATAAATAACAACAGACTACTGGCATGCTATTTTGCACTCTATAACGTCAGCGTATTTATCAGCAGTAAGGGGTGTTTAAAAACACACTCTAAAATTGCCATAGCGTAACTTTGGGTAATTTATGTGCGTATAGTGTCAGGGTAAGAATTTTCAAATTATTTGTTTCCCCTGTTTTCTGATTGCCTTGAAAACTGCAAAATGAAATACTTTAGAATGTTTATAATAACTCTAAAGAGAAAAACACAGTTTCTTTATTATTCTATGTAACATTGTTTTACAAACCAATTTCAATCGGCGTACATGAAATTCATGTCTATCCTGTAACCGATACAGATTAACCGTTAAATTATTTCTCTCCTTTTGAATATGGAACTATTCAGAAATGATTTAAAAAGCACATATCATCATAAAAATTGAACAAGACACATTTCTATCATTATAGAGTGTAGATAAAAGAAAATTCATTATCTTTAGTAAAAATAAAAGGCGTACCTTTTTATCATGTCTATTCTGTTACCATAAGATTTATAAATGACAACAATATTATACCTGTTGTGCAATTACGTGTTGGAAACCATGCAAAACCACAAACGAAAAAATTATCACTACAAAAAAGGGAGAAGTTATTTTACAACAGCATTCATAAAAATATAAATGTTTTTATAGTGTTACTGCCTATTATGTTACATTATACTACAGTTAAAGTAACAGGATGGACAACATAAAGAGGATGGTTTAAAACTAGTAACCTTGATCAATTTTGTAGTTCTTCAGATGGTCATACAAAAATTATGTCTGACAGGTTTATCTAACTTTCAAATGGTCATCACAGCCTTTGGGCGGTCGACTTTTGTCAAAAAATTAACATGACGTCAGAAAATGATTGGACAACATTTTTTGTTGTTGCCTGTATTGATTTCAATATCGGGAACTGTGGTTGTAATGTATTGTAAATGCTTCAGAAAAAAATTTAGCCAAATTTTTTTTTGCTGCCGTAAGAATCCTTTTTGATCAGGTCCACAAGACCGGAAAACGTAGTCAAACTACGTATGCATCTTGAATGGGATTGTGTTTATACTATAAAGAACAGTATTTTACTATATACTGTATTTAATTGCGTTTGTTTAAGTATATATATCAACTATAGTTAATTAGTCGTCATATACACAATTGTACGAGTCAGAGTTTAATGGAATGCAGGATAGTTGACAATCATATTTACTAGTAAATCCTTTCAAGTCGTATTTTGAGAATAACCTTTATGAGGCCGACCAGTGGATTTAACCATCCATTGGCCCTTAGTTAGTGTTACTATATAAGGAAATGACTGTACCAAGTCAGTAATAGAAGAGTTGTTTTCCATTCGTTTGATGTGTTTGGGTTTTTTTTTTTACATTTAAGGAATAACTGTAATATTTTTTCTGTCTATGAAGAAATAACATAAAAAATGTGATGCACACTGAATAACCCGCGTAGCGGGTTATTTTAAAGTGTGCATCACATTTTTTATGTTATTTCGAATAGACAGATAAAATATTACAGTTATTTCTTATAATTTAATTCTAAATTCCATTTTAAACCGGAGTAAACAATGAAAAAACGTTGATGACGTCACGGTCACATGACTAAATTATGTCTATGAGCTGATAAACAAAACAACGTCAGCCAATCAGCAGACGCGTTACATCCAAAATTAAATTATTTGATAAGGGACTTTTCGTTTTGGATTTTCCTAGTAGTTCGATATATTTGTTATTTTACTTTTTGTACGTTGTAGTTCTATATTTATACAAATAAAAAGATGTGGTATGATTGCCAATGAGACAACTCTCCACAAGAGACCAAATGACACAGAAATTAACAACAATAGGTCACCGTACGTCCTTCAACAATGAGAAAATCCCATACCGCATAGTCAGTTATAAAAGGCCCCGAAATGACAAATGTAAAACAATTCAAACGAGAAAACTAACGGCCTGATTTATGTACAAAATAATGAACGAAAAACAAATATAATTTGATATACGGCAACAAACGACTGAATTACAGGCTCCTGACTTTGGAGAGGCACATACAGAATGTGGCGGGTTTAAACATGTTAGCGGGCTCCCAACCATCCCCTTAACCTGGGATATATAGTTTATTTAAATATTCAATTTACTTCTATAAGTATGAGCGGAAACGTGTAGCATAGTTCGCATACATGAATGTTGCACTTTATAAACCATAATTACTATAACCCCGTTATAAGACAAACGAAGATGCCAGATGGCCATTACATAGCCTTGATGATAAATATACCAATTGTCCTTTATTAGTATTATTAATAAACCCAGGAACTGAATGAACATGTAAATCTTAGTATCTAGATCCGAAATTATTATTCAATAAACTTTTATATATACATATATATATACCGGTATATCATCAGTATTTCAATATGTACCACAAGTATGTAAATTTTCGTTTTTTTTACCACACTGTACGATCACCAGACAGTTCAGGTACTAAATGTAGAATTCTTTGATGTTTCTTGAGAGTACTGTAAAGCAACTTATTTTCGCGTATACTTTTTTCGCGTTAAGCTCTTTCTAACCTACTTCGCGGCGGTTTAATATCGCGATTTTCTATATGTTTTGAAATATGGAAATATCAAAGTTTTACATATTCGCAAGCGATTTATATTCGCGTTATTTTTCTACTCCCGAAAGTCGCGAAACATGTTTTTGGTATTATTGTGCTTAGACTGGTGTACACATAGACATTTCGTCATTGTTTTATTTTTATGCAGTTTTAATAAAATTATTTTATAAACCTTCGAGTTTCTCAAACATTACTTCACACAAAAACAAAATTATTTTGAAATGAAATAATATGCACTGGTTAATTGTATAAACTAATAATAATTGCGGTAAATAGACTATCCGCCTTGCATATAAACATTAGAATAACAGTTTATAAATGGTATGCGTCCGAAGCGATTTACTTTCACGTGAAGCGCTATATAACCAAAAGTGGTCTAAAGATAATAGCCAATCAATCTAAGATCAACTTTGCCTGAATTGACCAAAAATGTAACAACCAGACTTCACTTAAAGTGATATGACAAGAAAAGCTGGAAGCTGGAAGCTTTCATGTAGAGGCAGAGATTTAACCTTACATATTTTTATGAGGGTCTGAATGGGGTTTTCAGAATATAGACGAATGGGGTAAAACAATAAAAAATAGAAAATAATAGGGTGTTAAAATATAAGGAATAGAAAACAAAGTGCAAATAAATAATCACAAGTGTGTCATCTACATATAAGGTTCAGACTGAAAATAAGTTTTTGTTCCTCAAACCTTCAAAGGTTTAGGTCTTTAGTTACATACACCTCTTAAATGATTGTTTAATGAATTTGACTTTTCAATTTTGAATTCTGTCCACTAATCTATATTTTCCTTTAACATGTTTGAGCATGGAGGTCACGTGGTACATAGCCTCTTAATTTCGGAAAGCTAGGGAAGTCGCACTTTAACTAAATAACCATATATGTTTATTTTGCTTGCGTTGGTAGAGTACCAAGCCCTTTGCAACTTTAGGAATTCGTGCAACAATTTGGGGAGGTCTGAAAATGACCTGTTGTTAGCTTAAATCTCAAGGGAAAATCTCAAGGTTAAATCTCTGACCCAGCTCTTCCGGTGAACGAACTTTTAGATCGCACTTTATTGTATATTATTGACTCGTGTTCATACAACATTTGTCATCGTTTTAAGGCGTGTAATAAATCCCTCAATTAATTCGCTTTTACGGTTCGTTATAAATGCTGTAAGTTCAGCCTAGAAGCAAGATTGCATTCTTTATTATGCTATAAGTACACCCTAGACTAGTAACTTTTGACTTAACATCCATGATATAATAATATGCGTAACACTTACATCCAATACAATTTCTTATCTTAAATCAACATATATAATTATCAACGATTTATAACCTTTTGAGAGCTCTACATTTTATCGAGTTTGTAATCCGTGTTGCAAAAGCAATTAAACGCAGGTTAGAGAAAAATATCAAATTGTCAAATAGGTATTATAGATAGTAAATAAAGCAGTTATTGAAATGTCGAACAGAAGGATTACAACCCGACACATGTTTCCAACAACTTGAGGTAGGTATATAAGACGGTAATTTTTATTACAGATCATCACCACATCCGGTACAGTCATGGTACGTTCTGTCTTGGTGTTATCGCTTCTGTTTGTGGCGTTTCACAGTTCTACTGCAACATCAAGTAAGTATTCATAAGAATTGAAAATGAATTGTTTTATTCAACTTTGATTTGATAGCCAAAAACGACTTTTAGGTGAAGTCGTATGGTCAGTCTTTAGCTCTGTTTGGAGTTTTGTTGGTTTCTATTTTATAAGGATCTGGATAGGGGGGTTTACAGCAAAGAGGATCATGGGAAAAATTAAAGAATACTAGTAGTGGAAATGGAAATGAAACAAAAATAAGTTAAAATGGGGTGCTAAAATACAGAGAATAGAAAACAAATAGAGAAAATAGAGAATAGATAAAATGGGGTACTTAAATACAGAGAATAGAAAACAAATATATAAAATAAAGAATAGAGAAAATCACATTACAAATTACTGAGTGCTAAAAATGAATCCCCCCTACTAAAAATCTTGTATTCACCTTGTTAAATGTAAAATGGGTAAAGCAAAGACAAAACCTGAACAGTGGATTCTCGTTTTAGGGAAGCACGATTAAATCAGCAGATAAACCAGGAAATGAAATTAACCAGTCCACGAATTTAAAAAAAATATCAGTGATAAAAAAGAGAAGGGACAAACAACCCCGCCACATTCTTTATTTGCCTGTCCCAAGTCAGGAGCCTGTAGTTTAGCGTTGTTGTTAGTTCATGTCTGTCATATTTGTTTTTCGTTAATTGTATTGTTATAAATCAGGTCGTTAGTTTTCTCAATTGAATTGTTTCATATTTTTCATGTCGGTGCTTTTTAAAGCGGACTATAAGGTATGGGTTTTCTCGTCGTTGAAGGCCGTGCGGTTGCCTATAATTGCTTACATCCACTTTATTTGAACTTTGGTGAATAGTTGTTTCATTGGCAATCATACCTAATCTCCTTATTTTTATAATCTGAATTATGACTAGCGAGCACGAGATAATTTACCCAATTCACAAATTAAGCTGGGTAAAATGTAACATGACTGGCACCGAAGGCCCCTGAATCCCACATTATACGAGAAACCATTATGAAGGGCAAAGCCTGCCAATTACATGTATATTACTTATATAATATTACATTTGAGTTCTTTAAAAAATTTAAACTGGTATAGTAAAATTATGTATTGTTTTAGGCCTTATATCACATTGTTTTCTCAACGTTCAAAATCACATGGATTAAAATATTGATTATGAATATTTAAGGGTTTGAAATTAAAAAGTTACATTTAAATAGTCTCTTGTATTTACTTTTAGGACAATGGTCAAGTTGGAACTCTTGGTCAAATAACAAAGGAAGTAAGTATGATGTTACGTACATTGTATTAGAAGTCGGTCAATTCGCGGTTTCAGAATATAATGCATTCTGGGTAATATTTTTAAATGTGTACACAAAAACACTGATTGGTTATAAACGTCCTACACAGTGGAAATTCAACCAATGACGTGACGTTATTTTAATTTTGGGGTACGAACAATAAAATTACACATAGTGAGAGTTCAGATTCTGAACGGCAAATCCAAAACGTATCCAATCATATCAGATACGATGACGTAAACGTATCTGGGGATATACCAAAAACAACATAAGATCCCGAGTTTTGAGTCTTTCTTGCGTATAAAAAAACAATAACTTTATTTATTAAATTTAAACTTTTCCAGCATATTAAATCGAAAAGTATTTAGTACATGTTTATCGAAGTAAGCTATAAATAAAGCAATGACAAGATTTCTTCAGAAATATGAATTGTTCTAGTTGTTTAAAAGCAGGGATTGAATCGATTGGTTTGAGACCACAGTCATTTGACATACTTGTAAATGTTCTTCTGGTATTGAAAACAGCAGACTGTGTTTTGATTACTAAGGATACAACTATATTAAAACTAAAGTATATACATATTCATTTCAAATCTCGTCTCGTACCTGTGAAAAAAAGGGAGATGAAATACATGGATATTTAAGAAATCCTAAAAACGCCTTTTGAAAAAGAGTTTCTGTTCCGTAATGAGGGACTATAAAAATGAATGAATAAATAAATACATTAGCGATAATATAATTTTCATGGCAACTGTTAACATTTGAATAGCATGATATCACCAAATGCCATTTTGTAATCCTTGTTTGTTCGTTTGTTTCCATTTTTTTTCAATTCATTTTCCAAAACCCATTCTTCATGTTTTGACCTTGCCAATTCAATATAATCTTTTCACAACAAGTAAGTCTACACTAAAGCTGTACTTAATATAATGCACTAGTGATCGTATCATGTGAACAGAAATCAAACTTTGTTATTAAATTTTAATCAGCAGTTTTTTTAGCTTTTCCACTTTTAGCGCCGAGAACTTCAAATCAGTATAGACTCTTTTAAAGTTGTTGCAACAACTTTAACGTTGGAAATTCACGATCAGTATAAAAAAAGAAATGCACATGAAACGAAACAAAAAAACTTCTCATCAGTTTGATGCTATATTTTAAACATGAAATTCGTCTTCAGGTTACAAACACAGATGTGACGCGTATGCTGACATAGTATTTGGCTATGACGATTCCGGAAGTATCGGTTCTCAGGCGAACTTTAACCTTATGAAGACTTTTATGAAAGATGTCGTTGGATCATTCTCAAACATTGGCATTAGTGGGACACAGTTTGGCGCATTGTGCTTTGCGCAAAGTGTAAAGAATCATTTCCATCTTAATGCGCATACCAGCAGTTCGGCTATACAGAACGCTATAATGAATTTTGGTGTCCGAAAAGGAAGTGCAACTGCTATAGGAAAAGCCTTACAGGTAAGATAAAACAGATGCTCTAACATCTTATAGGTAAGCTAAAGGAGATGATCCAACATATTTAACTGGGGAAACTCCTTACCATACATTGGATAAGCTTTAAAAATCATATTTTTCAGGAGAAATTAATTGCCCAATCGTGATCTATTGTGATGGTTGCATGTCTTAATTAAATGCTTGTCTTCTCGTCCAAAATTGTATTACTGAACATTTTGCATTTCATAAAAGATTTGAAAGACGAATTGAATGAACAGAAACTGTTTCAATCTTGACGCGCGTATCCCAGGTCAGGAGCCTGTAATCCATTTGTTGTCTTTGGTTTGGTGTCTGCGTTGATGATTAACGTGTATTATTATTATTTGTTTTTTGCATACATCACGCCGATTGTTTATACCTTTTGAATTGTTTCACATTTTGTCATGTCGGAGTATTGTATAATAGCTTACTATACGATATGGGTTTTGCTCATTGTTGAAAGCCGTACGGGAACATACAGTTTTTACATTCTCGTCCTTTAGTCTCTGGTCAAAACACAACAGTAAATTTCAAAAAGACTAAAAAATAAAAGCTTTAAGACACAATGTTTAAGCTTTTAAAACAATGTATTTTTAACTTTTAAATCATTTTTATACCAGTTCTCTTGTTTGTACGTCTAAAAGTCTAAGAGCTCGATATAATAATCTCCAATCAATTATAAGTAAAGGCATCAGCCATTAGTTTCGTTTGAATTAGGCAAAGAGAATGTGTTATGGTACAATTCATAATAAAAATAAGGTTGATACAATTTTAGGTAGAAGATTTCTTATGGGGAAACAGGCAAAAATATTACGAATCAATACCAAAAAAGTCTATACACACTTTAAAGTTGGTATTCTGGGGCGTGTTAAAATAGGGCAGCTATGGAAATCATACCAACAGTTTTTTTGCTTGGTTTTTCTTTTTTTTTGTGTGTGTGTGTGGGGGGGGGGGGGGTGTATTATTGACCAATATTCAATGATTTTCTGACATTTTATACGTTCTCTATTTCAGTATATGAGAAGTCATAGCTTTGCCAATGGAAATAGAAATATACCACCACGTGTTTCACCAGCTAAAATCGTAATAATCTTAACTGACGGCCAGAACAATGCAGGACCAGACCCAATAGCACAGGCAGCCCTTCTCAAAGCACAAGGCGTTGTTATTATAGCTATTGGTATTGGAAACCGTGTCAGTAAATCTCAACTCGAGGCCATTGCCTCCAACAAACAATATGTATTCACTCCATCAAACTTCGGCGCACTCAGAACTCTTGCTGTACAAATAGGCAGACTTACTTGCCGAGGTAAGTGGATGTGACAAAACATTGTTATCATGTACACACTCCTGTGTCATCGTAATTTTAATAGGTCCAGTATCATGTGTAATATAAAGAAAGATGAGACCCAACAATGTAGTCTACTCTTTATTCAACATTTGCTTAAGATTATTTCAAATCGATATGTGGAATTTTGAAATTTCAAAATAACTTACTTACACTTGTCATCTATTTCCATGGGAATGAAATCTTATAAAATATATGTATTGTCATTCTAATGAAATCAGGGGGATAAAGGATTTCCTTTTAATGATTCAATCTTTGGCGCAAAACTATTGTATTGCCAATTATGTCAAATAAAGAAAAAGGTTTCGCGATAGTGTAAAAAATACTTTTTTTTCACATTGTAGAGCACAGTTTTATTGACATACATGTACACATATGAAAAGTAGTACAAATAAGGCAATATATAGATGTAAGCATTGTTATTGGTTCAATTCTTAGAGGACTTTATACACCGCTTTTAGAATTTAATCAATGAAATACCTTAATCTTGTTTTTGCGAACCCTTTCTAACTCAAAGTTAGTCCGGATCTTTAAAAGACTCATTCATATGTAATTGTTATAGTGTGTAGAGCTGGACCTGTTGGACCTACAGGAGAAAGAGGACTACCTGGACATAGAGGACCAGCCGGTCCACCAGGCGCAAGGGGACCACCGGGACCAAAAGGTAACAATTTGTATTGTTACTACAATGAATTAATACAGTATTATATAAGCACCTTTTTTCAAATTAACCTGCAGTGGCAAGTAACCGACTTAAAAATTATAGACGAGGTTTTCGAAAAACTGTAATGGTATTTTTCATTACAAAACACGTTTACATTCATTAGAACTATATTTGTTCCTAAATTATGATACTTACGGTTGTAGCAAATACACATTTGACCGGCTTTGCATTAAACCACAAGAACAATGCCATAACTGCACTCCAAGCATTTTTAGTAAGAGTTAATTGAATTGATGTTTGCTTTATTAGATGTGTGTTGATTTACTTTTTTTAAGGAGGGGATAGTCAGTTATTTTTCGTTTGATTATCAGTGGAAGATTAATACATTTGTTTGTATGCATTGTAGGAAGTGATGGAGACCAGGGACCAGCCGGACCACAAGGTATTTTTAGATTTGATTAATTTTAAAAAGAATTTGTACATTTAGTTAAGTAATGATTCGTTAATTTCAAAACATCTCGGTTTTAATACTTTAATATTGTCGTCCTAAATAATCAAAAGTTACCTAATAACTTTTGAATTTTGATATAGATGCTAGGTACTTTAGTTTCATTCTCATTTAAAAACCATGTGGCCAATATCAAGTCTGTTTACTCAAAAATGGTTTGCATCTCTATAAATTAATTAGTTTTACCTGACCATAAATTGTAATAATATATGAGCTGCGTCGGATAGAAATCGACCTTATGCAAATGAATATCAATACATCTGTTAACCTATTTTGGTTGAAAAAATCTCTAGAGAAAGTCTGGAACTTTTTGAAAATTGGGCTGTTATAAGAAAATCTACAAAACAGACAAAATTCATTTTTTTATTTTGTATTTGAATGTTCCAAAATCAATCAAAGTCTTATACATGTACATGTATGCGTGCACTTGCATAAGGTCGTTTTCTATTCGAGACAGCTCATATATTATACACATGTAGTCAATAAAACATGCAGAAATAATTATAATCTTTTACGAGATAAAAGGAATGTAACTAATGATTTTTGTTTTGCCTGTATTGATCAATTAATTGCATCGAGCAGAAATAATTTTGTCCTAACATGATAACTATAAATCACTAGTATTTTAAACATTAGCTTAAAAGTATACATACTTTTCAGAAATTAAACTATTTTAATATATATTTTCAGGACCTGAAGGGCATATGGGTTCACCAGGCCCAAGAGGACCACCAGGTAATTTTATTAACTGGTTTAGGCCAAAGTTGTGTTTTTCTTTGTTTGAGTCCTGTTTTGGATATGTTTTCATTGATCTAATAGCAAAAACGAAATAGTATTTCGGAAAGTGTTTACTCAATATCCAAAGCACCTTTGTTCACACCCGGTTTTTGAAAGGTAAGTGTTTTGTGGACTTTTTCGTAATTTTCATTTTTTTCCCCAAGGTAATGTCAGTTTTGCTTCAATTTATGAGTTATATATATGCCCTTAGTATCTTCCGCTTTTTTCTATTTTTAAACCTTTAGTCAAATTCATGTCCTAAATCATTACATGTAGCTTGTTGGGGAAAAAGCACAAAAATGGCTTTCGGGTTAAAAATATTCCACCGCGTGTTTACATAATTTACCTGATAAATTGCACTTCAGGTGACCAAGGATCAAAAGGTGTGCCTGGAAAAGATGGAAAAGATGGGGAACAAGGAGCTGCTGGTCAACCAGGAGGGAAAGGTGCTACAGGGGATCCTGGTAAGGATGGCGATGACGGCGAACCTGGAGACCCTGGAAGACCCGGTCCACGTGGACCACCTGGCGAACAAGGGGCAAAGGGTCAGCCAGGTCATCCCGGAAACAGAGGCAAACGAGGTCCAGAAGGACCAGCTGGTGCAGCTGGAAGAAACGGAAACCCTGGCCCACAAGGGCCCCCAGGACCTAAAGGACCACGTGGTGATAAAGGAGAAAGAGGTAACGTTGGACCACGGCCATCACCAGGAAGACCAGGTCCACCTGGACCAAAAGGACCAAAAGGACCGAATGGAAAGGCTGGATTTAAAGGTATCATTTTTGTATTTTAGATTGTTTATTTTGTAATATTTTTTTCAAAACATTTTTGATGTTATTTTTTATTTCATGTTTGCTTACCATTTTATTGTATTTCATAGCATTATCATTTCTAAAGTTATTTTTTATTCTATTTCTATCCGACGTAGCTCAAACAACAACAAAAACCGAATCTTTAAGTATTCTTAGTCATTGAAAGCTAGACCAAATCCAATTACAACTAATTAGATAATCATAATCCCAGGCTTACATAATTGTTTATATTTAACAGGACAAATTACAATTATCATTGAAAAAGGCGGCCAATACAGACCAGGTATGTAAATGTTCAAGTAGTCTCTGTGGGTTTTGCCTCATGTACCACTACAGCATATATTAGGCACACCTTAGTCACATTATAGCACAGTGAGAACAAATAGATTTTTCCTATGTCATGTGTTGAATCTAAAAAAAGTATTATTTAATTAAACAGAAACAATACGAGATCTGATTTTACATGTTTAAAACCAAACTCTTCAAATAACGTTATCATTAAGATAAAAGTCTGAAAATCAACAATGCTAATAATTTTAAAATAACGAACTATGCGTATTATTTTTTTCATTTATTTTCACTATGAAGAATGTCCTTATACTGTATTGAACTAAAAATTACATCATATTTATAAATTTACTAACATTTTTAGAAGATATACCAAGATAATGAAAACAATAAAGAGATGTCAGTATTTACTTTTTTCTTACTTTCAACATTTGTAGAAAATAAGTTTTTTGGCAGGAAACATTTGTCCCTTAACTTTTCCCAAATTCCTTAAACTGATGGGGAGAAGTGAATACTTCAGCTTTAAACTGTAGGAATAGATTAAATAGAAATTTTAAAAAAAGATAATGAACATATTTTGTTTTAGTGTTTGTAAATTGAGATTAATGTTTTCAATTATTGATGAATATAAGGGCTGGAAATGAAATCCTAGAAAAATGTGCAAAATCTGTCGTATTCGACATGCCTCTTGGCCTAGACTTTTTTTCGTTTGTCATTTATACTAAGGACAAAACTTTCAAATATAAAAGATAATTTAAGGGGTGTTCCTTGGTAGAGGAAGATAATCCCAAAATGAGTAGTATGCCTTTTTGATTGGCACTTTCATCAATACTTGTGAAGCTTTCCTGTGAAATGGAATTTATTAAGATATTCTGTGGTATTATTAAGACTAAAGTATTAAATATATTTATGAAAATCGTTGACGGGAAAGTTCAGAATTTACGTGTCACTTAAGTAAGTTCCGTCTCTTTAAAAGCTGTATTTTGTGTCCAGATAAAAACAAAAGATTACTTTACTTTATTTTACTTTTTTCAGTGAAAAGTCTGAATGGATACTACAAAGGAGTGGTAAGTATGATTTTTCCTCTGCCATTGTTATCCTTAAACATGTTTTTTTAGCATATTTTGTTTACATTGTGAACAAAAAATTGAAAACTCTGGATATTTGGATTATTGAAACTTCTGTTTCTTTATCCGGTTTTGATAACACATCAGTGTTAATATTGTCTGGACTATTTTTCATCAGGCCCCCAATGCTTTTATCTATATCGATAGAACATTTAAATACAGCGGTTTCGATTATTTTTAAAGGTCACAGGTTCCTTTTAAATTAAACGTCAGTTCGCAAGGTCGCCCATCAAACCTCCAAAATTGCAATTCGGATTTGACCATGTCGGAGCCACATTTCCTTTTGTTTTTGAATCACTACATCAGCGTGAAAGACTGCATTTACTTAATCGAAAAGGTATTATATAATTTAGACCAATTTCTCCCATCATGATGAACTACGTATTTTGGATATCTAGTGCATTACCGACTCGTTTAGGGCAAACGCAAATATACACAGAACACACTTTATTTATAATTAATGTAATATTGATGTATATGTATGTTCAAACTTACCTTTCTTGGTTATTTATCAATATTCTATCCAATGTCATTTCAGATCAGTGCTGACCTTGACGCCGCCATTAGGGCAGCAGTAAACAAAGGATACAAGCCACCTAAATACTGATAGATGAAAAGAACGAAATTAAAGCGTTCTGATTCCGATTACCTAGTTTTTACTATGATTGTATTATTGAAAATAAATGACATTGCATTCAATTATAGTCGTTGTTAAATGTCAAAAGTTAAATGATAGTACCATATGCATGCGCATACCTGTTCCAAGTCAGAAATCCCCTCAAGGATTGTCATGGTCTTTTTGTCTTGTTTTCGGAGATTTACGAAATTTATCTTGGATCTTGTGTAATCTACATGTACATGAGTGATTAACAGCAGAAACGACATATTAAACAAAACAGCTACAATTTCACAGTAGTAAATGTATATAAGTGAGCATCTTACATGACGGATGCCACATGTGGAGCATGATCTGATTACTCTTCCGGGACACCTGTGTTCATCCCTGTTTTTTGGTGGGGTACGTGTTTTCATTGTGTTTTTAACTTAGGAGTTCGAATATTCCTTTCGTATCTTTCGCATTTTTTTTTACATTTTTTTTTGTATTTTCATATCTGTCGCCGAATGCCGAATGACCCTAACACTGAGACATATAGTGACTAAATATTGTACTTTAAAATCCTACGTTGACTGCCTTATTGTTGTTATGATACCACCATTGAACTATTTGAGTATAACAAATCACCGCTTGTACTTTGTATTTTTTGTTGTGTCTTTTGTTTTGTGCTTCTTGCCTATCTGATGAGTATATACAAAAAAATAATAAGGTGCTGTGGTATGATTTCCAATGAGAGTGTTTTCCAACAGAGACCAAATGACGTGCATGCAAACCACTATAAGTCACCGTGTGACCTTCTACAATGAGCAAAGTCTTTACCGTATAGTCAGCTATAATATAACAGATCCCGACATGACAAGACATGAAACAAATCAAGTCCTTTCGTTCAAATTTTTACAGTTTTGTCTTCTGCTGTGATTTTACATTAAAGTCACAGGTTATGGGAGGTTTATCGCTCACACAAATATGTAACCTCACTACGGTTTTTTGTATTCCTGTCCAATGTCAAAGAGTTATGAAATTCAATGGTAGTCGATGCATGGTTGCTGTTTACCATATTTTACTTTCGTTTGTTGAATTTAGCATAAAGCAAACGGTTGGTTTTTTTTTCTCTTTTGAATTGATACACATTTTGCCATGCCGAGACCTTCTATAGCTTAATAAGCATATGGTTTTTGGATTTGCAACTAGAACATCTTCGTTCTTTGGTCTCTGTTGGATAGTGTCTCATTGTAAATCATACCACATCTGTTGATTACTATATCAAGATATATTGTTCGTCATGGTTTGACAGTTGTTCAAAAGATTGTTCGTTCCCTTTTGTTGGTTTTCCTTTTTTGGACTGTGTAGTTCCTTTTGGGTCAATCTTACGGTGCTTATTTATCCTAACTCGTGCTCGTGTCAGTAGTGACGTTATAGGTTTCAAAGAACATCATCTATTTGTCACTGGAAAATTATTAAGTCAGTGAATTCGTTACCGCAAATTACTTAAAACATTTACTAAATTCTATCATACACTGAACTTAAGTCAAGCTTAGTGTTTGATAATTCATTGATAACATTCTGACGTATCACAAACAAGCAATTTGTAACGTCCTACTTCATTGGCCGAAAGATTACAACAACAATCGTAGTGTGCACGTGAATTGACACAGGTGACCGACAATGGAATGTACTATGTTTTACTACGAACGTAAAAAGAATTAAAATAAATGTTTGAGAAATGCTTTGTCGTCGCCTGATTTTCAAATAAAGGGGTCGAAATATTATCCTTGTGATATGTTTTTATTTAGTAATGTTCTTTATGTAACAACACAATTATCATGTACCGGATGATAAAAAATATAAGGATAAATACATGTGCCATCTTTAAACGGATAAATTTATTAAATACATGAATCACTTTTAAATTTCTTTCCCACTGACGGGATACAATTATATCCTAAGTTATTGTCCTGACAATGTCGTAGTTACATCATTTTCGCTAGCGCAGCATTGAAATCACAAATGTTGGCTTAATCTGAATCCAAAAGAGTTCTTTTAAGTTGTTCCTTATAAACTAAGACATTTCTCACAAGTATTTATTTATTTTTTAGTTCCACACATGCAGAAGCAAAATCACCTCCTGTGTTACATTTCAACCCTTTTTTACACAAACATGCCTTCAATTCATTTCATTTTCGTATTAACCATGATAGAACATTCCATAGTACGTCAGTTGTGTTCATTCACTTGCACAATACGATTATCGTAAAAAATCTCATAATAATAATAATTCATGATGATTTGCATATTTCTCTTTTGTTTTAGTTCTATAAAATAAACATACAGTAACTTTAACGATTAGTCATTCAGATATAACGTATCACAAACGAAACAAATAGTCCCAATCATTCACCGAAAGATAGAAACAAAACAACGATAATCGTATTGTGCAAGTGAAAGACAATTGACGTAATATGGAATGTACTATCATGGTTAATACGAAAATGAAATGAATTGAAGGTAAAAAAGGGTTGAAATGTAACACAGAAGGTGATTTTGCTTCTGCATGTGTAGAACCAAAAAATAAATGAATACTTGTGAGAAATGTCGTAGTTTATACAAGATTCACAATTGATTATGAATGAAATTAAATTATGGAAAGAAAAATCCACATTTTCTTTTAATGTCTGTAGGAAGTTATTACCTAGTAAACTAAAATTTGTCTGATATGCAGTGGTTAAAATGTACAAGTCACAAATAATCAAGACGAAGAATTTAAAAAAAATAATGCATTAGCGGATTCAGATGTAGGATACTGGTAGTACAAATAGAAATATATTTTATTCTCCAAAAACTAATTATAAATTTACCGAGAAACATAAAATTGAAGGTAAACAAATGTAGTATGCTCATTTAAAATGAATTACAAAATTATACATGTATAATAGTCTGTTAAACGAAATATAAAGAAATTAACGATGACAAAATATATGTACAAGGAGGGACTCACCTTTTTGTTAATACATATAATGAATAAAAACACTTTCTTTAAACTGCTTGTTTTTCATTACCAAACAGTGAGTTTATTGACATAATACTTGTTGTTCTATGTAAATCTATGTAAATATATACACTATATAATTTACGTTCCATCATAAATTCAAACGAATAAACGTTCGACACGGAAGCGAAAAATATAATCATCAAACTAACTTCTTTCATAGCGTCATTGTTCCCCTTTTTATAATATTACTATTTTGTTACAAAAAGATTTCAAATGTACATGCATGTATATTGAATTGATATTTTTTGGAAACTTTTGTAAAATTCAGATGCTGAATCGTCTGCGAATTGTGGGATTTATTATGTTAGGTTCTTCTCAGCAGTATAAAACACACTCATACAGGTATCTATACTGAATTATTGTCTGTGTTTTTAGATGGTCCCCACTATAGCCTGTAATAACCGCGAAGAGGCCTATTAGATCATAGCAATATACGTGGCGTCATTAGTTCCTAGTCGAGAAAGTGTCTCAAACTGGACCATGTCGGTCCATTTTCTACACAATTACACGGTTAACAGTGCTGACAGCAGTTTTTACATCAAACACTTTATTTAAGGTGGTACCCAACACCTTGACTAATATTAATTTGGCTCGTTTAATTTTCATAAAATTTCGACAAAATGTTTACTTTGACCCTTTGACAAAAATATAAAAATTTCAAAAAATTTGAACCAACCACTTTATCAGAAAATTTCATTGGTTATATAGGAGTTTGACAAACACTAATTTTAATCATTGAGAAGCTTAATATTTTCTTAACAATACAACGTGATTAAAACGTTTAGCTGATTTTTACAGAGTTATCTCCCTGTAGTGTTAGGTACCACCTTAAGTCTTACCTCATGTACTTGTACATATATATAGGGTAAAGAACAGCGTATACATAAGCCACTCTAAAAAGAGCTACGAGAGACTGATTCAAAACACAAATACATGTACTAAAAACTTATGTATATACAAGAATAAAATCTTTTTGTTACATATATACACATAAAAGGTAAACAACAGCATATACCTACGCCTCTCGAAAAAGGGCAATGAGAGACTGATTGAAACATATTCATATAAAAGTAATGTATACATTTATATATACTAGCATAAATCATACAAATCATTTTTTTAATAATATATCGTGGCAGATTTCGGCAGTGTAGAATTGCATATCATCATTATTAAACATAAATATAAGTTTTTTTTTAAAATCTGGTTATTTAGCCGCCCATCACACATTTTTTCAATCGTGACCAGTTTCTAAATACACAAGAATGCTGTTTAAAACTACGTGGTACCCATATCAACATATATACAAAGATAAATTGGGTGTTTATTTACCAACACCCAATAAAATGTGCATGGATCTATTCTTCACACTATTTATACATGAAAAATTCTTCGTACCCAATATAGCAGTACCATATTCAATTACAGACCAAATCATTGAATTAAAAAGTTTAATAAATGTGTGCTGAAAACCTCCATTTGCTTTACACCCTAATGATCTATAGATACTAGCGGATGTTGATATTACTTTTGCCATATCATCATAACTCAAAAATTCAATAAATAGTTAACCAAGATAATTATACTGAGATAGAGTATCTATTTTGCTACCTTTAAAAAAATGGAAAAGTAGTTCTAGGTACAGACTGTGTTCTAAAATGTATAATGTTTGATTTATCTAAATTAACTGTCATATCATTTTTATTGCACCATGTATTGAGTGTATCTATCAAGTTTTTGTAAATCATTTTCATTTTCAGTTAAAAATACTACGTCATCTGTATACAATGATATACAAACTTTATCATTATCAACATAAATACCAATATTTAGCCTTTTAATATCATCAATTAGATCATTTGTAAAAATAATGAACAATAATGGTGATAATATACACACTTGTTTAAAGTCACAGTTTACGTTAAACCAATCAGTAGAATTACCGTTAATCTTTACACAAGACTGAACATTTCCATAAAGAAAACGAATTGCTTGCAACATTTTCGAACTTATATTTAACGACTGTAGTAAACAAAACAATAAATCTCTAGTTATACACATATAGACCTGTTTAAAGTCAATAAAACAATATAAGTTGAGAGTTTCCGAAGTTTTTGCGTTTCAATAATAATTGTTAAAGTACTTGAAATATGGTCCAATGTATTTCTATATTTTCTAAGGCCATTTTGTTCGTCATGCAGGAAGTTGGTGTCATCAAGTTTGTGTGTTAAACGTACATTCAGAATACCACAATATAGTTTATACGAAGTTGGCGCTAAAGTCAAACCGCGATACGACAAAGGGTCTCATGGGTTTAACGTGAAACTCCTAGGAATTGGATTAATTACACACTTTGACCACATAAAAGGTATATTCCTGGAGTTATAACAACTATTAAACATTCTGAGTTTTACTGTGCGTATTGCTGTGTGTTTGTTTATTCTACATTGGCTAGAGGTATAGGGGAAGGGTTGAAATCTCACAAAACATGTTTAACCCCGCCGCATTTTTGCGCCTGTCCCAAGTCAGGAGCCTCTGGCCTTTGTTAGTCTTGTATTTTTTTTTAATTTTAGTTCATTTATAGTTTTTGGAGTTTAGTGTGACGTCCATTTTCATTTAACTAGTACACATTTTTGTTTAGGGGCCAGCTGAAGCCCGCCTCCGGGTGCTAGATTTTCTCACTGTGTTGAAGACCCATTGGTGGCCTTCGGCTGTTTTCTGCTCTTTGGTCGGGTTGTTGTCTTTGACATCTTCCCCTTTTATAATTTTTGTTCATGCAATCAACGTAGTCTGATTCTGATAAAGTTCAACGGGAATCCAAACATAACCAGGATCTGCTTCCACTTTTAGAAGACAGTACAGCGTTCCATACTTCTTTGACTTAAATTTCACAGTCAAGCAGATCATCAAGTATAGTACGATTTTTAAGTCATATTTATAATTATTACAATTTCTATTAAACATATTAGAAAACTCAGATTTCTATTTATATAATATTTCATTTTTATTACACAAAGACCTATCACTAAGTGTCACCTGCGTAGGAATACCACTTTGACGCACATTTCAACCACTAATTTTACCAATTGTCCTCTAAATTTCCTTTGAATTGTTACAAGAATTATTCAAATCCTCTCGAGACAACTACAAATACTGACGTGTTAAGCTTTGGACAGCTTTATCAAACACTTTTCGTTAATTAATATAGGAATTTCGTAACTATGATTTTTACATTTTATCTACATTTTTTTCAGAATTACAAACTTCATTCTAGAGAACTGTTAAATCATCATTTCGTTATGGTTTCCTACACCTTCTCTTTTTACTACATCGCGTATACGTATCGTTTTCGATATTGGGAAGTCTTGACGACATTTCGGTTTTAATAATAACGCTCACAAATTCTTCGTACACACGGTCAATATATACTAGCCCAGAAATTTTAGAAATAGCAGTATAAGAACTAAGCCAATCATCGAGTAGATTGCGTAAATCATATTTGATTGTTTAACGTATATTTTGAGTAATATTGTTTCTATCGATTCCAGAACTAAAATTCAACGAGAAGTTCCATGACAGAAAGGAGTGACCCAGGACGACTCTTGTCAGATTGTATATACCGATGGCACATGTTTCATTGATCATTATGCTTGTTCTAGTTAGCTTTTAATTATCAAAACAATCGAGCATGTCGTATGGTACAACACAACAATCTACGAAGCCAGTGCCACTTGGAGATACAAATGTAAAGTCATTTTGAACTGTTTTACGTCCATTTAAAAAATACAGCAGTTTACGTCAGTTAAAAAATTACCAAAAATACTACCATAACTATTATGATGGAAGTCAATTGCATGTCTTTCGGGTAAACTGGCAATCGAAACTGGCAAGTCTGAATATCTGCTATTTCAATCGCCACACAAATAAAAAGGAGATGGCAAATATACATCTTAAACACAGTAAGCATTCTGTAACCAGTTTTAATCATCCAACCTCACCCACAATATTCCATCTGTATCATTGCCAATTATATCAACATTAGCCTGACTGCACAAATCATTTTGTATTAAAAGTTCGACCTACCCAGAACCAGATTTCACACGCACGTGGAAGTTTTTACGATTAAAACTGAACCAGTTATAACCGTCGACTTTAATGCCTTTATTAATTACTGGTCAAATACGTTTTCGCAATTCCAGCAATATGCAAATTATAATATTTAAAACATGAATCTGATCAAGGCGAATCTAAAGATGACGATAAGTCGTCTAAAGTAGCTGTTATCTGAAGAAAATTGTTTAATTTTTTAACAGAAAAACACAACAGAAAGAATAATGCATTCTTTCAAAAGTAGGTGAACATTTTTACAGAAAGCATATACAATTGCGAAAAAGTTTGTATTTTATGTACTATTTTTAAAAATGTTCAACGATATTGGAATAATTCATTTAGTAATATTTCAGAAAATACAAGAGATTTTTTGATTTTCAGTTATAGTTGTAAGTTGTATGCAAAATTTTACCAATATCTGTGACATAACCCTTTTACTGTACATTAATGTAATTGTTGTGTATGTGCCTTTTGTTTTTGATATTAAAGTACTTTACTTTAACTTTTTTTTGTAACGTACTTGCATTTATTAATACTTTACATTTAAACTTTAAATATTGTTCATTTCGGTTAAACCTAGACACTACTCCCAAAACCTGGACTGTTCTCCAAAAAAAACCCAGACAAAGAAAAATTAATCCAATTTCCAAATGACCTCATTTACTTGTATTTGCACATTTTGGAAAGCATTCAACTTTTATATTACATTGTACCTTCGAATAATATGCGGAAATAAGAATTTGTTATAACATATACTAAAATACCCTTTTATATTTATTTTAAGCAAATCATCAGTGAAAACATATGACCAGAGACATATTATTATATGTCTATGGTATTATTATATGTCTATGGTATTATTATATGTCTCTGGTATGACGGAATCAAATTCGAGCGTCACTGATGAGTCTTGTGTAGACGAAGCACACGTCTGACATACAGAATTAGAATGTAGGACAGAAAGTCACAGGAAAAAAAGTCACAGACAAAACGTCACGGACAAAAAGTCACAGGACAAAAAGTCACAATTCAGTTTCGAGATTATATTTCTTTAAACAAGAAAACACTAATTTGAAAAATAAAATTTTTGTTTTTTCTTGAACTATTATATATGAAGCAACTTTATAATTAAAATTTATTCAATAAATATCAATAATGATCAAATAATTGTTATGAAAACAAAATGTCAAAGTGGCTTGGTACTTAAATGGCTTCATTGTGCCAAGAAATATATCCTTAGCATGATTAAAATTTAATAATTTTTCATTTATCAAGGCTTATGAACAATTTCCTAAACTTAAAAATGAATATATGTAATAAAAAGAAAATATTTCAAGATCTTTCTTTTAAATATTCAAACAATTGTCAACAAATTATTTGTGACTTTTTGTCCTATCAAATTTGTGACTTTATGTCCTGTGACTTTCTGTCCGTTTACCACAGAATTATAAGCCTGGTATCTTTGATGATAATTTTTTTATTACTCATTCTTCAGACCATTAAGGTGGTACCCAACACTACAGGGAGATAACTCTGTAAAAATCAGCTAAACGTTTTAATTACGTTGTATTGTTAAGGAAATATTAAGCTTCTCAATGATCAAAATTAGTGTTCGTCAAACTGCTATATAACCAATGAAATTTTTCTGATAAAGTGGTTGGTTCAAATTTTTTGAAATTTTTATATTTTTGTCAAAGGGTCAAAGTAAACATTTTGTCAAAATTTTATGAAAATTAAACGAGCCAAATTAATATTAGTCAAGGTGTTGGGTACCACCTTAAAGATCACAATTTTCCACATAAGAAAATGCCTGTACCAAGTCAGGAATGTGACAGTTGTTTTTCATTCTTTTGATGTGTTTGAGCTTTTGATTGTGCCATTTGATACGGGACTTTACGTTTTTAATTTTCCTTGGAGTTCGGTATTTTTGTTATTTTACTTTTTCGTGTATGAATTAAACATCTACTGTATATAAACTCATCATAGATACCAGGATTGAAATTTTGTATTTGCGCAAGACGCACGTTTCGTCTACAAAAGACTCATCAGTGACGCTCGAATTAAAAAAGGTTAAAAAGGCTAAATAAAGTACGAAGTTGAAAAGCATTGAGGACCAAAAATTCCTAAAAGTTTTGCCAAATACAGCTAAGGTAATCTTTTCCTGAGGTAGAAAAGCCTTAGTATTTCAAAAATTCAAAGTTTGAAAAACAGTTAATTTATAATTATGACCATATCAATGATAATTCATGTCAACACAGAAGTAAAATATTCATTTTAAAAAAATGCTAAATCAGAAATCTTAAAGAGAATCTGATTCACTGATATATTTTAATATGCCATATTGTACAAGTGCTATTGGTTAAACATACGTCTGAATCAATACAATGGTACGTTTATAAGTAATGTGTAAAATAGCCGTAAATCGGATTTGTTATACCTTCACACAATATAAACTTAAAATTGCCAATAAAAAAGTAATCCAATACGATTTGCAAAGCTTATGCATGTAATTGTGTTGATCTTGTTTCTTCCTATGCATGTTATATAATTAACTTTATACAGTGAGTAGAAGAAGGCGGTTTAAGGCAGAACATAATTTTTTTATTAAGTTGTCAATGAAGGGATTACAAACCGTCATCTGCTATGTACAACCAAAGACCTGATATTTAAGAGGACTTTCCCTCCAACATGACTGATACATCGCCATTACAATCATGGTACGTTTTGGTGTAGTGTTGTCCTTGTTCTTTTTGGTTTTTCACAGTAAAATTGGATTATCAGAATCTGGTAGAAGTAAGTTTTAAACTAAAATAGTGTTTTACATTTTTTACTATTGAAACCTAAAAATAGGACGGATGCTTCGTGCGAAGTAGTATATGATTACCACAGCACAGAGGCTCCATGAGGAAGACTAGTACATTGTACATATTGCTTAGGTTTTAATTTAGTTCTCTAAAACTGTCGTTGTTAAAGATTTTACTTTTCCTCATAAACTGTTGTTTAAATGGTTCTTTTCTGTGGCCAAGAAAGAAGTGCTCTTACGAATGATTTCAGATGTATTGCGCAATGCACAGCTTACGAAATCTACCGCCAAATTAATACACAAATTACACAAACATTAAGATAATTATGACATAAAACAACGGCTGACTATTTTCCTGGTGACGAATTCTGCACATGCATTATTATATAGTACTGGTTTAATATACATAGATACATGAAATATTTGATATTGGCGTATATTAACCAACAATATTTTTAAAGTCATATGAAACAAGTTTCTTGAAATTATAATGTTACAGAAATTATTGAACCAATGCATGAATATCATATAATTTTTCTTAATTAAAAATTTTGTTTCATATTTTTCATGTCGGGGCCTTATATAGCCGACTATACTATACGGTATGGAGTTTTTTTCATTGTAGAAGGCCGTACGGTTGCCCATAATTGCTTACATCCACTTCATTTGAACTTTGGTGGATAGTTGTCTCGTTAGCAATCATACCACAATATCCTTGATTATATATATATATATATATACATTGTATACTTACCTAAGTCCTCTAAGCACCTTTTCTTTACATTTATTACGTACCCGTAATGTATACTGGACAAAGGCCACGATGAGCATTGATCGAAAACTCTAGCTTCTAATTACTAGTAATCTTCGAGTTTGTTGCCAAAGTTTACCGGATCATAACATTGATAAAAAAAACCTAACACCTTCATCCAAGGGCAGTATGTTTTTATTATACTGAATGCCTTATGATTCACATGTGTACTAGTTTAGTATGGCGTTCATTATCACTGAACTAGTATATATATTTGTTTAGGGGCCAGCTGAAGGACGCCTCCGGGTGTGGGAATTTCTCGCTGCATTGAAGACCTGTTGGTGACCTTCTGCTGTTGTCTGTTCTATGGTCGGGTTGTTGTCTCTTTGACACATTCCCCATTTCCATTCTCAATTTTATGTTATTAGAAGGACAATTGTAAAAAAAATAAAGTCATAAATTAAGATAGTTTACTAATGACAACAACAAATGTAGAAATAAGAATCGGTAAACCTCGGCCGGAGCGGGTGTTAATTGTTCCGGATCGACAAACTTCGGGCTTAGCTGGTGTTAATCTTAGTCATAAGTACCCGTTGCTTATATTATCACATGTTGCTATGGGTGGACGGTGCTTATGAAAGTTTGTGAAAATTAACAAATGCCGGCCGTGTGTCCAATGAAATGAATGGACAATATAAGAAATTTGCATAAAGTATAATAATATATTTACAGTTATAGTATATTATAGTTTTATTCAGGCAAATTCAAGCACATATACAAAAATTCACAAGACAAGACAAGACAAATAATATATATATATATATATACTTTTAAAAAAGTATCATAATATATTTAAAAAACAGTGCTTAGAAAAAAGCCTGGGGTGTCCCATAAAAGCTTACATAGTATAGCTTATTTCCAATGGGGTCCCTTGTTTGAAAATATATAAAAATAATATTTCAATTTATGGTTAAATTTGACCTTCACCAAAAAAAAAAGAAAGATCAAATGTTTCTTAAAAAACATATAAACAATCTCCAGTTTCTATATTTCTTGCTGTTCTTTTTAATTGTTCTTTAACTGTAGTCTTAAAAGCAGATCTATTTGATATATTTTTTATGTTGGATGGTAGATTGTTCCACTCTTGTATAGCATTACAGACAAAGCTGTTTTTATTACAGTTTTTAATATTTGGTACAAAATAATTATTATGTGCAGCACTTCTTGTATTATGATTATTCAAATCAAAATATTCACATAAATACTCTGGAGCATGTCCATGATATATCGGTCATTTTCAAAAAATGTCGAATTTTCAGTACACCCATGCTAAAATTTGTATTTCTAATGGAAATTTCAGTTGTAATGGTTTAAATGAAAGCTTGTCGGATTTATGATTTAGAACATCGATAATAAACACGATTTACATCTATTTTGATAAGATTAAAATGTATTTAAGTCCGATTTTGGGGGTATTTGTGTGCGTACAGTGTCAAAAAAACACATTGCAAATGATTTTTTCCCGATTTTCTGATCGCCTTGATATCTGCAAAAGGGACTTTTTAAGAACGTTAATAATTACTCTAACGAAAAATCGAAGCTTCTTAATTATTATATGTAACATATTATCTACAAACTAAATTCAATCAGCGTACGGGAGGTTCATGTCCATCCTGTTACCGCTACTTAAATCAGCCGTGATATTGTTCTCCCTATGAATATCGAATCAGTCAATGTTGATTTCAAAAGTTCAAAGTTACCTTTACATTTAAAACACCACGTTTCTTGTACGACAGTGTAGAGAAAAGAAATTTTAAGACATTTAGTGAAAAAAAATAGAGGGTACTTTTTTCATGTCTATGCTGTTACCAACAATTTTGATTAATTACACCAACAGTATATTTGTAAAAAGTGCAATATCGTGTTGGAAATCAAATTCACAACAGAAAAGCATAATCACTTCACCAAAGGGAGTAGTCATTTCACAACAGCATTCAAAAATGAAGAAATTTGTCTATCCTGTTACTATGGTTGGTATGGTTACAGTAACAGGATAGACAATTGTAGACAGAAACGTCGTTAAAAAAATTATCTTAACATATAGTTGCAAAACGAATGAAATATTTCGTTGTTTTAACTCATCTTAAAGTTATAACGTCTTATTCTTCCCAATTAAGCATTTGCAGGTGCAATACTGATATCGGTAACAGGATAGACTTTTATATAGTGACATATCATAAACATACGTTCCTGTTACCAATGAAATAAAGAGAAAAGTAAACTAACTTATGAGGGATTTACTTGATGTTGGGTTTATTTGAAAGAGAGAAAAAAAATGCCGAACAATATGAATTGCTATCTTAGACTTGCATTACTGGTGGTAATTTTTACAACCTTTGAAAACCAATTTTTAGAGGCATTTTTCAGTACAACCTGGAAAATTGGCAAATAATCTATTATTTTTACAGAATGAATATATATAGAAGTTTATTCTCTTGAAAACCATCTAATTGGCTACGTAAAACAAGCTTAAAATTTTATCTAAACCTTTTTTTAATAACCCAAAATTTCTTTTGAAAATGGTAACAGGAGAGACAAAATATTGTACCACCTATCAAAAAATGTTTCAAGATATTCTTGTATGACATTATTAAGATTGCATCTTTTAACATGTTGTTCTTTAAGTACTGTTTCTTTTGATTTGCTTATGTAGAGGGTTGTTTGAATAAGTAACTTTTAATAAATTTTTCAATTTCAAAATTCGACATTTTTTTAAAATGACCCATATATTGAATACATGGTTTAACCAAAGTTGACTAACTCTATCTTTTACACATATCATATTAAATTTTGTCTAACATATCCCATGTAATTCTACTCCTTGAACCCAGACCAAGGATGAATCTCACCACCTTATTCTGTACAACTTGCAACTTTGTTGTCATCCCTTTGTCCAGACTACTATACCACGAAGAGCAAGAATAATCGAAATAGCATTGTATTAGAGCAGATGTGAGAGTCATCCTTGATCTAGTATCCAAACATTTGGCATTTCTATATAAAAATCTTAATCTTGCATTAACTTTTTTTTTATGATATTGGAAACTATTTGTTCACAGTTTAAAAAATTATTAATGTCAACTCCTAAATATTTGACACAATTTTTTGATTTTATAAGGTGATCATTACATTTGACCTGAAAATTAATATTTTGTCTAATCTTTTTTGGAGGTCCAAAAAGCATACATTCAATTTTTCCTAGATGTAAAGACAGTTTATTATCTACTAACCAGACTAGAACATTTTTCTAGAACTTTTCCCAATTATGTAGAAATAATATCTGGATTTTTATGAGTATATAAAATAGCGCTATCATCAGTATATAAAGTTAATTTACAGTCTTCATCAATACTGATTGAAAGTTGTTAAAGGACGGGTTCAAACAGAAAGATTTTGAAAGCAAGAGAAAACTGTGCACCTTACAAATCAGCATGACGTTGTCAGATAACAATACAAATACTATTTATTGATTGATTGATTGGTGTTTAACGCCACTTTCAACACTATTGCGCTATTTCGTGGCGGTCAGTTTTTATTGGTGGAGGAAGCCGGAGTGCCCGGAGAGAACCCTCGACCTTCGATAGAAAAACTGACGATCCTAGTCGATTAAGATTGGAGTCGAGTGCACCTGCCCCGTACGGTATTCGAACTCACAACCTCAGTGTTGACTGGCTAGTGATACAGTAGTTGGACTACTTAGAACACTCAGCCACCGAGGCCCCCAAATACGAATACTAAAAATGCAGGCTAAAAACAAGGCATAGGTAATTTAATTCAGTCACGTACCCGCGACATGTCGCGGGTGTGTTCTAGTATATATTTATACAGACTGATTCTGTTAACCCCATCCAGACCCTCTTCTAAGTACCCGCTTTATTTAATGGGAGGAATAAAACAATTACATTACATTATCATTTTATTATTTCAGGTTCCAAATACATATACGGATCGAGATGTGATGCATTTGCGGATATTGTCTTTGCCGTTGATGATTCTGGAAGTATTGGTTCCAAGACGAACTTTGATACGATGAAACATTTCATGAAAAACGTGGTAGGGTCTTTTTCAAACATTGGAGATGATGGTACTCGTTTTGGTTCCATGTGCTTTGCACAAGATGTCGTGAACCATTTCCATCTAAACAAGTATAAAACATGTGCAACTTTACAAGCCGCTATACTGAAACTTCCAATCAGGAAAGGGCATGCAACTGCTATAGGAACAGCTCTACAGGTAAATTATAAATAAAACAGAGAAAATCCCTGTATTACATTTTAAGTCGCCGAATTTCGGGGAAATAACCGAATAAAATTTGTAATGGGAAAAAAAATAATCGAAAATTCCGATTGTTTATTTTCTCATTTCCAGTTTCATTCGGGTATTTCACACTTTACACACAAGTTTTTTGGCTTTGTTAATTTTGGGCTACTTTTAACTGGACGAAATGGGCTGCTGCTCATGCAAAGTATGATAAGCTGAAATTGATATACATGTATATACATTTTAACCAGTTTTTTGCTTCTTTTTGATAATAACTATCGCTGTCAAAAGTTTTTAGCTGATTAAAATATTAAATGTTATTAAAATATTTGAAAAACACAGATTACACACAGTGTATACAGATGAATTTGTTCTTCCCGCTTGCTCTGTATTGGAAATGAAGAATTACGTCTACCTTTGTGTAGGAATTACATCCTTGAAATTTAAACGATCATATGATCTATTGAAAAAATAAAATTCCATCTAAAATGTTTAATTTTAATAAATAATAATAAGATAATTTTGTTGATTTTCGTTCATTGAAAACATGAAAATGGTTTACAAGGTTTGAACTTGAAGAATGCATAAATTAGGTCGTTAGTTTTCTCGTTTAATTTATTTTAAATTTGTCATTTCGGGGCCTTTTATAGCTGACTTTCTGGTATGGGCTTTGCTCATTGTTGAAGGCCGTACGGTGATCTATAGTTGTTAATTTCTGTGTCATTTGGTCTCTTGTGGAGAGTTGTCTCATTGGCAATCATACCACATCTTCTTTTTTATATGAATAAAATCACCTTCAAACATCATACTTACTACCGTTCTTTGATTCGTCAAGACAAATCTTCCTACTTTGATTACTTCCCTATTTCATGTATTAAAACAAAAACTAAACGAAAAAAAGAGTTCAAGTGTGACTACAAGATTAACAGCAGAACAAAACATAGCACAAGGACAACGATGTCCAACCTTAAGGGAAATAACTCTTACATAAATTATAAAACCAAATTCAAAGTCGGTAATATGAAAAGGAGCTTATGATCAGTTTTAAATATATATATTCTTTATTTTTTATAATATTTTTACCCTTTTCATATATATTATTGCAGAGCAATAATAAGTGCTTCTTTGTACATATAAAATCTAAATTGCTTGTTTCTGAATCCTATATATTTATTTCAAAGTGTATTACATCGTTATGTGATGATTTATCTGAATAACTACATGTGTCTGAACTAAAACTTATTCCAGTATATAAGGACTGTGAGTTTGTCAGCCACATACAGCAGATTTGCAGCTACGAAGATAGTAATAATGTTCACAGACGGCGTCAATACTAAAGGACCAGACCCCAAAATAGAGGCACAGAAACTTAAAAACAAAGGCGTCTTCATTGTAGTTGTTGCTATTGGAAACCGTGTTAACCTACCAAACTTAAGGATGATAGCATCCCGAAGTGATTTTGTATTTAATCCATCAGACTTTAACCAACTTAGAGCACTTCTTGTACGGTTAATGCGACTTATTGGCCGAAGTACGTATACATACGTTTCACATTTTACTTACTTAGTTTCTTGAGCAATTCTTACACGGTGAATGGAACTTAAAAGCCGATGTAATTACACACATTTCACATGTTATCTACTTAGTTTCTTGAGCACAATGAGACTTATTGGCCAAAGTACGTACATACATTTCACGTTTTACTTACTTAGTCTCTTGAGCACGTTTCGAAGTTTTGTGTTAACATGAGATAGCATGGCTATGAGTATTTTCTGTTAATTTAGTTTATAAAATAAATATTCGTTACACTAAGGGTTTTCCTACCCCTAGGCATAGATTTCTTTAGCCGCATTTAACATTACTTTTGGTGATTTTCAGTTTAAAATGCTCTTCAACGTCGCATTTGATGTCGCCTTCCAACTGTTTTACAATAAGCGTCACTGAAGTGTGTCGTGTAGATGACACGCGCATCTGGCATACCAAAGTATAAGCCAAGCCTGTTAACTAGCTTACTTCATTTATTGTTAAAACTGATTCTTTCTCGCAGTAACCTTATATATTATTGAAAAAAATGTACTATTACAAATGGTCCCTTGTCGAAACATCGCTGTTTATGTCATTTTGATTTCTCTAGTCTGGGAACAATTTGTTCTTTTGTTGTGCTGTAACACTACTGGCCCAGGTTAGGGGAGGGTTGAGCGCTCACAAACATGTTTAACCCCGCCACATTCTGTATGTGCCTGTCCCAAGTCAGGAGCCTGTAGTTCAGTGGTTGTCGTTGGTTCATGTCTGTCATATTTGTTTGTCGTAAATTATATTGTTATAAATTAGACTGTTTGTTTCTCAGTTGAATTGTTTTAATTTTTTTATGTCGGGGCCTTTTATAGCCGACTATACGGTATGGGTTTTCTGCTTTTGAAGGCCGTACGGTTTGCCTAGTATTGATTACATCCACTTCATTTGAACTTGGGTGGATACTTGTCTCATTGGCAATATATACCACATCTCCTTATTTTTATATTAAATTGCGGAACTGGTCAATAAACAAAATATGCAAACATTTGCACAAAGAAAATCCATATTTTGACCTTCTGGTTTCACTAGTGGGGCATATCAGTTAAACTCTTCCGAGGCATCTGACTTTGCTTCCGTTTTGTTTTTGTGTGGATTCGTGTTGGTTAATGTTTGTGTCATCTATAGCGTTTTGTAAACTGCTGTTTTTTTGTTTGTTTTGGGGATTCTGTTGTTCCATCTCTAGTGTTTTGTGTAGCGTTTTGTAAACTGTTTTTTCTTTTCGTCTTTTTTTTGTCGTTTGCCATTGTTCATTTTTTTCTTCGCCTAATGAATTTTGTATTGTTCCTTATATTTTCTGCCTTTTTTTTTTACATATATAAAACATAGTTTTGCATGTTATTTTTTTTTTTTCAATAACACAAACAAATAAAATGAAAAAAACAAAACGCCAGACAAAACTGCTTTTCATATCCAATGTCCAACTAATTCCCTAATTGCACAAGAAGTTAAAAACACACCTTACCCAAAAATTAAAGGCATGTTTAAACACATTATAACAGCACAGTGTTTGAACTTAAAATACACTGAGTATACTTCTATGAATGTTCTTTGAAAAAATATCTACATGAATTTCGTCTTTTGCTTCTGTATTTTTTTATTCATTCACATATGTAACGTTTTGTGTAAACTCTTAATTTGTAGTTAGTAGAATAGGACATCGTGGACCACCTGGACTGCCGGGACCGCGGGGACCTAGAGGACCAGCTGGTCCTGCCGGATCAAGAGGTCCAAGAGGACCAGAAGGTAATTTATAACAGTTTATTTTACTTCTTTGTGCAAAACATAAAACAAAACAACATTCAAACATGCTATGCAAATATGTATTAACAAAAACACCGACTTACGTGGTAAATTCATACAAAGGAGAGTTCCTTAAACCCGACAAAAATCATATGCTCGACTATATTAACCAACAGAACGAATGGAAATTGACTGTCATAATCCTGACTTCTGAACAAAATGGTGGGTTAAATCTGGTTTTATAGCTAGCTGAACCTCCCACTTGTATGACATTTGTTTATTGTTCCGTTATATTGACAAAATTGAGTGTGCAACCCAAATAGACATAATTGGTAAATGTGACCATAATTTTGATCCAGCAGGCAAAACTCTATAAACATACACCACAGACATACAAACACAGCAGAGTTAAACATTCAAACGAACATACAAATAAGTCTGACAAAGACTCCACAAAAAGGTTTTTGTAGTTGATAGTACATACAGTTTTGTAAAACATAATTTCACATACACTAATATACTTTCATAGATCACGTTCTCAAAGTACTGAATAAGTCAATATTGTCCTCTTTCATTACTTGTAACTGAAAATGCATTTCATATGTGTTTTATAGGAGCGAGTGGGATGAAGGGAAAAGTAGGCAAAGTAGGTAAGTCACGTGACGTTTATATATCTATTTCTAAGTAAGTTATGTCAAACACTGATGTTTTAAGATTAAAGAAAAAATTATTTCAATACTAATTAGCCTCTTCATGGGGTTTTTGATTATGTGATTACTTGGCCGTTTTTATAGTTATTATTTGATTACCAGACCAAATATTTCATGATTATTTCATTATCTGATAATCTAGGACTGTATTTTTGATTATTTGATTATCTTGTTTAAAAAAATAATTAATGATTATGTGATTATATTGGCAAAAAATTTGTGATTATGTGATTACTTGGACACTCCCATGAGATAAGATTCAGTACTAAAATTCAGTTTTACCGATTAAAACAATAAACCTCTAAAGTATTAGTGGACTATAGAAGCAAGATAATATAATCTTTGGAACACAACGAGATCTGGTATGATCAGATAATACAATATCGATGGTATTTTTAATCGTAGTATATTTGTTTCACATTTTTTAGCTAATTAATTAAGAATTGGATGCTTCTTTTTGTAATTTTTATTAGGGTGTAAAAACGTTAACACCGAAGCACATGTTGTATTCGAAAAACGTGTGCACGATCAACGCTTATACAACCCTATAAAATGACCAAAGGAAGCATCCAATTGTATGCTACAACCATGAAATAAAGTGTTATATCAAATATTTCGTGTGTTTCCTGTGCATTGTTGTGACGATGTCGCGGGAAACATGTGCTGTCATGGATGTTGTATTTATACGGAAATAAAATCTAATTTTGGAATGACTCTACATTGTTGTCAGCCAATCAAATGTCCGGATTCTTATGAAACATACATGTTATGTAATTATTTGATTTTAAAGTATGTGCCGTACTTTGGCTTTTTTCTGCATCGCCATTTTCTGTTCTATATTAACAAACCCACTCCCAATCATATAAAGTCTGTCAATAATATGAAAGACATGTTTTTAGCACATGCGTCACATTATTGAATGCATTTTTTTTCAATCTGACTGTTGGGTAATTCATATAAAAATAAGATATCCTAACGGGAGGGATTGTGCTTGATTTTCATATGATGAAGACATAATCTTTCAATCAGTTTAGCTGAGGTCTGGAGCTGGCATGTTAGTAACTGCTAGTAGTCCTTTGTTAATTTATGTACATGTATCATAGTTTCTTTTGTTACCTATTCTGACATCGGACTCGGACTTCTTTTTAACTGAGTTTTACTGTGCGTATTGCTGTTTATTTGTTTATTCGACATTGGCTAGATGTATAGGGGGAGGGTTGAGATCTTACAAAACATATTTAACCCCGCCGCATTTTTGCGCCTGTCCCAGGCCTTTGTTAGTCTTGTATGTTTTTTAATTTTAGTTCATTTATATGTTTTCGAGTTTAGTGTGACGTCCACTTTCATTGAACTACTCTAGTACACATTTTTGTTTAGGGGCCAGCTGAAGCCCGCCTCTGGGTGCGGGATTTGTGTTGAAGACTCATCGGTGGCCTTGGGCTGTTTTCTGCTCTTTGGTCGGGTTGTTGTCTCTTTGACACATTCCCCATTTCCATTCTCAATTTTATGTGGTATGATTACTAATGAAACCAATATCCACTAGAGACCAAATGACGTTGATAAATGTATAAGCAACTCCCTTTTTTCAATAATACAATATTGGATGTACAATGTAACACGTCTTCTGATTGGCTGAAAGGTTTTTGTCTCTCAGCTCAAAGACATAATTTTGTCATGTGACCGTGATGTCTTCAACGTTTTTTTCATGATTTACTCCTTAAAAATAGAATTTAGAATTAAATTATGAGGAATGACTGTAAAAAATTTTTCTGTCTATTCGAAATAACCTAAAAAATGTGGTGCACACTTTTAAATAACCCGCTACGCTATGTTATTTCTTCATAGACATCTCCATTCCTTAATTAAGTAAAACATTAAAGCGTGTTCTCATTAAATAGTTAAAGCAGAGAACACATTGTTACATATGTAGCATACTAGATCATACTAGAGTTGGTTATGTACACCTGGCAGTAGTACGCACAATCTGATTTAGAGTAATATAATGCACGCATAACTTCTGTCACTTGTCTTTGTAAAAGAAATACTAGTATACCAGGTATATTTGATTGCTAGAGACACGTGCCTGTGAGTTCAACATTAATATACATGTGTTGCTAAATTGAAATCTACATAAACCCATAATTGTGCACAATAGTTTGATAATAATTACTTTTTTTCAGGATCACGAGGAATAAGAGGAAAACCCGGAGGCCTGGGAAAAAGAGGTAATGTTAGAAGAAAATAATTTAATATTATCATTAGCTTCAAAATGTATATCCACTGAATTGACTCAAACTCTAAATGTTGATTGTTAACATACTAAGGAGTATTATACGAGAATTAGAAAAGTCATTCCGGAAACAATTAACAAATATTTTGGAACTGGGCGTTTTCTGATTAACTATCGATATAACCTTGAGGATTGGCAATTGGGCTCGTTATGAAAATAAACAGATAAAAAAATACCACGTGAACATTAATAATGCCGATTTTACTATTTGATTGCATAAAGCTAAAATTAGGTGATCTAGTGATAATATATACCCCCTTTGCAAAAAATTCCTCCTTAACAGTAAATGCTAAAACCAAACTTCAAATTCAACGTGACCTGTTTAAATGTTTCATAACATTGTGTTAAAAGATAAAAAAAAAATGTCAAACGGTACTTTCCTAATCACTAATAGGGAATCCAAAAAAACAAAACAATAATTTAAGTATCTAAGGGAAATAACTTTTGGACATCAAATGTCAAAACCATCCGTGTGAATTGACTGTATTTTCGTTTTTGGGGTACGCAAAAAGAAATTACAAATAGTTCTTTAGATTTTGAAATGGCAATATACCAGCAAGCAGACTACATTGTTGGTTAATTATTTAATTTCTAAGTTAAATTCATTCCAAATCTATAGTTTTTCGTTAATTTGCGAAAAAATAAAAATAGTCTAATATTTAATACCAAGTAAATAGCAGAAAGAATAATTATTGCAAACTCCATCAACAAACTTTTCAGTCTTGAAAATTGCCCACAGATGGACGAACGGGCTAGACACTAAAAGACATGTTACCACACTTTCATAAAAATATAATTCTGTGCATATGAATTAACCTTTTCACTTCTATATAAAAGTCTTAATATTTCTGCAATGATCAAATCTAAAGACTTGCAAATGTTTTCTAAAATTGAGAATGGAAATTGGGAATGTGTCAAAGAGACAACAACCCGACCATAGAACAGACAACAGCAGAAGTTCACTAACAGGTCTTCAATGCAGCGAGAAATTCCCGCACCCGGAGGCGTCCTTCAGCTGGCCCCTAAACAAATATATATACTAGTTCAGTGATAATGAACGCCATACTAAACTCCAAATTGTACACAAGAAACTAAAATTAAAAATAATACAAGACTAACAAAGGCTAGAGGCTCCTGACTTGGGACAGGCGCAATTACAAAAAATTACATTTCTGTTTGTTCTGCATTGTCGTTAGATGATCCAACTTATCAAATTTGATGGATAATTGTAATTGTTTGATAAGTACCGTATTGTCTAAATAAGACGAAGCCGCATAAATAGAACAAAAGCTAAAAACTAAAGATTTGAGCAACGATTAACATGAAAGATAAACAAGATGAAGTGAAATCGCATTAAAACATTTCGACACAACAAACGACCTTCATCAAGGTCAGTTCTTTTTTTTTAAATGTGATAAAACCATATGAGTTTTTGTGTGTGTTAATTTTCCTTAAAAATTAACGGAAATAAATCGACACATTTAACAAGATACGTATGTTGTATTTTTAGCTCACCTGGCCCAAAAGGGCCAAGTGAGCTTTTCTCATCACTTGGCGTCCGTCATCAGTCGTCCGTCGTCGTCCGTTAACTTTTACAAAAATCTTCTGCTCTGAAACTACTAGGCCAAATTAAACCAAACTTGGCCTAGATCATCTTTAGGGTATCTAGTTTAAAAAAAATGTATCCGATGACCCCAACCATCAACCAAGATGGCTGCCCAGGCTAAAAATAGAACATGGGGGTAAAATGCAGTTTTTGGCCTATATCTCTGAAACTGAAGCATTTAGAGCAAATCTGATATTGGGTAAAAATGTTTATCAGGTCAAGATCTATCTATAAATTTTCAGACGCATCAAACAACTCGTTGTTGGGTTGCTGCCTCTGAATTGGTAATTTTAAGGGAATTTTGCAGTTTTTGGTTTTTATCTTGAATACTATAATAGATAAGAGATAAACTGTAAACAGCAAAATTATTCAGCAAAGTAAGATCTACAAATAAGTCACATGACCAAAATTGTCAATTGACCCCATAAGGAGTTATTGTCCTTTAAAGTCAATTTTTCCTAAATTTTTGTAATCTTTTACAAAAATCTTCTCCTCTGAAACTACTGGGCCAAATTAAACCAAACTTGGTCTAAATCATCCTTGGGGTATTTAGTTTAAAAAATATATCCAATGATCCTGCCCATCAACCAAGATGGCCGCCATGGCTAAAAATAGAACATGGGGGGTAAAATGCAGTTTGGCTTATATCTCTGAAACTAAAGCATTCAGAGCAAATCTGACACGGGGTAAAAATGTTCATCAGGTCAAAATCTATCTCGGACGCATCAGGTTGCTGCCCCTGAATTGGTAATTTTAAGAAAATTTTGTACTTTTTGGTTATTACTAGTATCTTAAATATTATTATAGATAGAGATAAACTGTGAACAGCAGCAATGCAGGGGTTAAAAAATCCACTAGCCCGACGCCCGGGACTAGACTTTTACACTTCGGGCAATTAAAACTTGTAACCGAATATGCCCGACGGACTAGTAACAAACAATTCTTGGCATTTCCAAAATAGTAAGTGGAAAATCCCCTCATCACTATTCTATCTTAGCCATTGAGATTCAATTACGTACGTCATCCGGGATTCCAAGAATTTGAACCGATTTTTTACATGTTTTAAAAATAGAACAACTAACTCTGGGTGGACCGGTATCATGTACTGATCGCAATTCACGTACTTTCAATATCAATTTCTCAGTACAGGGGGTATTGTACATTGCTTATGCCGAGATTTTCAATTAATGGTACTTGGGTGTATGATGAAATGATCGATATTGACCTGTCTTGTCGGACAGCTGTTAATTTGAGCTTGAAACCATGCACAAATTATTTCTAAACATTTTAGTACGGCCACCACAGGAACTTTGTCAGTTTCAAAACGAAAAACGGTAGATGAAGGGGGTAATGGGGCTGAAAATTTATCCCAAAAAATGTCAAATACGACCAGGAAAAGCAGAAAAAAACATTTATGGTGTCATGGACAGAAAGATTCCCCATGGGCAAGGTCGACTGTTACTGATGATAAACAAGAGATGATGTTTTGTGAATATTGCCGTTATTTTCCTGATCACGCTGATAAAAAGTCTGCTTTCTATGTGGGAACAACAAATATACGAATTGAACCACTGGTTTAACATGACAATATCAATGAACATGTTTTCTGTGCCCGAAAATATTTAACAACCCATAGTACAAGGGATATCCAAAAAGATGTCTAGAGATCCTTGTTATAATTAATAAAACAAAAATTTATTTGATTTATTTTATCAAATACCGTGTATAATGCCGCATTCAAAACAAGGGACACCCACTCTAAATTTGTAAGGTATACTCGGGCTAGCAGGTCAGTTTTGATGGGCTAGCAGCTCTTTCAACAGGGCTAGTAAAATCCTGCTACCAATAAGTCCTGGGCTAGTGAGCTGTAACAAATTTTTTTAACCCCTGCAATGTTCAGCAAAGTACGATCTACAAATAAGTCAATATGACCAAAATTGTCAATTGACCTTAAGGAGTTATTGCCCTTTAAATCAATTTTTCGTAATTTTTTGTAATCTTTTACAAACATCTTCTCCACTTAATCTACTGGGCCAAATAGAATTAAACTTAGCCACAATTTTCAATAGGGCATCTTGTTTGAAAAATGTATCCGATGACCCTGTCATCCAACCAACATGGCCGCCATGGCTAAAAAAAGAACATAGGGGTTTACTATAGAAGTCTAAGGGAAAATTGTAAAATAAAAACAATTTCAAATGGTCACAACTTGAAAGCTAATTTAAATAATGATAAGGGGTCTTCAGTAACTATTGTAAGACTACAATGGGATGACCTGCTTTTAATTTAACTACTGAGCCAAATTAAACCAAACTTGGCCTCAGTCATTATTAGGGTATCTAATACTATTAATTAAGATTTTAACCTTATTTTACATGATTTCCAAAACAACAGTCGATACTGGTGAGCGACACAGGCTCTTGAGAGCCTCTAGTTGTAAAATAAACATAAACTTTGTAAGAAAATAAGACAATTAATTACCTCATTATAACAAACATACAAAAGACTGGTAAGACAATTTAATTTAAAAAAAATCCGTATTCATTTTTCACCTCCAACTTGACATTTATCAGTTCAGAGTTGACATTTCTAAAGTCCAAGTTCACATTTCCCATCCCCATTTTGACATTCTCAGTTCTACGTTGACATTTTAAGTTCCAAGTTGACATTTTTTCACGTTCAGCGTAATTGAAATTTCCTTCTTCTGAGCTTACAATTCCCAATTTCAAGATTGAATTTATCGTATCCAAACTGACATTTTTCAGTTCCAACGTATAAATTGGAAGGGAGAAGTGTCAAGTTAGAAGTTTGAAATTTTAACAGCAGAATATCCCTATCGGTCTTTCGTACAAGTTATTATCAGCAAAAACATCAAAATGTAATCACATTTATTGATTTACTAAAGGGCCTAGGGGAAAACCAGGTCTTCAAGGGAACGCCGGTAGAGCTGGCAAACGAGGACTTCCTGGGCCAGCTGGACCAACAGGACCTAAAGGAAATTCCGGCAAAAATGGAGATAATGGTACACCAGGAAATCCGGGGTCAGATGGAAAGAAAGGGTCTGTAGGTCCCGCTGGAGGTAGAGGTCAACAAGGAGCTAAAGGCTCTAAAGGAAAGGAAGGTCCCATTGGACCTAAAGGTCCTGTAGGTACACCAGGGGCCAATGGCCCAAATGGGGCAGTAGGAGAACAAGGTCCTCCGGGCAAACAGGGACAAAAAGGTAATAAGGGACCTCCTGGACCAGCACTACCCCCAGGACCAAGAGGTCCACCAGGACCAAGAGGTGATCCAGGGAACCGAGGCCAAAAAGGTATTTTTAATCTTTGAATACAAGAAATTAAGGTTGATAACTAGGCATTCTATAATTATTTGTAGTTTTGAGATATCTATGTCAGGAAGTGGTGTTTAAGGTTCATGTGGACCCTTAGAAAATTTAAAACTTAACTGGATTTTGCAGTGCACTTTTTTTCGTCCATGCAGAAGATGATTAAATTAACGAACAGCTGAGTTTCACTTGATATGGTCCACTCAGGTACACAGTTTAAATGACCAATTATTGTCAGATATCTATCGTCCTTCTATTGTCCATGTCAATCAATACAGTTCAGTTCAATTATTACTTGTGGGGAAATTCTCAAACCTCTTTCCCAACTCAGTCTATGTTGGCATCTTCTGGAGGAATGAAAAAAGTGCACTGCAAAATCCTGTTAAGTTTTTAATTTTCTAAAACATAAAATATATTTGAATTTCATTTATCTAGGACATGCTATGCCTTAAACCTTTTCCAGATACACAGGTTTGTCTGTACTCAGAATAAACTTTGAGGTGAAAATGCAGCCATTTTAACCAAAGGGTCCACATGAACCTTAAAGGGGCACTAGCTGTCAAATTCATGTTCACCGATTTGACTCAAATTCTCATATTAGATTTATAAAAACATTTATCCAAATTATAAAAAGTTTTAAATAAACAATTCACAGGGCATGGGCTCGATAATATGTAGCTTCGTTTCGTGTGTATTTTAGTCTAGACGCCATCTAATTAACTATCGAGATGACCCCGAAAACAACCAACAGTCACACGACACGATATAATCATAAACATAAATATCAATAGATATATGGAACTCGTGCAAATGGATTTTTCTATGTCTGTTTGATTTCAATTTTAAGGTTAAAAAAATAAGTTAGTTTTCAATTTTACCTGTATAAGAATGATTTTTTGTGGATCGAATCAGTCAATCAAATGATTTACCTTTGTTTCACTTTCAATGTTGACAATCTTTTCTTTTAGTAGCTTAACACGCACCAATCATGCATAATCCATCTCTAGCTAAGGGGTTAAATTGAAGTTCACATGAATACGGATTCCAAGAGGTCAAATTAATCACTTGCAAGTGAATAATTCATCATTGATGATTCTTAGCTTATTTTGACAAAATTGAACTATACTGGCTGCTAATAGCGAATAATAATTTCACAATTTCACTTTCATTAATGATTGAACAAAAAAAAAATCATAATTTGAATTTTTTTATGTATCTCGTAGCTAGTGCCCCTTTAAGTCAATCAATGAAGTCTTAAATGCCATTATTTATTAGTTCTCCTATTCAAGGATAACAAGACCTAAGAGCTCCAGATAAAAACAACAGTTTAGTCAAATCTCTCTGGTATTTCTCTGTTTTTTAACAATTAAAGATAAAACTTTAAAAATTGACAAAACAGAACAGTTCTTAAATCGTTTTTTTTTTAACCAAACAACTTATGAACTAAAAAAAAGTATGTATGCGTGAACAGATCACCACAATTAAGGCCTTTGGTCAGTAAGCAAAAATATTGTTTTACTAAGATCAACTAAAAAATGCCTCCAGAGACAAACAATGTGTGTATATATTTGTATATAGATCTAATGTATACATCCTTCTTTTTGTAAAGTGATTTAGTTTTCCAACTTTTTCAAGGACAACATTGGGAATCTAGTTGGCACGAAGTAGAAAGTAAACGGCAAAGAAAAAACAAAAGAAAATAATGGCGTGCTAAAATATAAAGACTAAACAGATTGAACTAAAAATTTAAAGAACAGAGATAAACGACCTAAAAATTGAAAGAATGCAGATATGAAATGCCTCTTCTTAGACAGATAGAAGTCAACATACGGCCTTAATCAGCCGACAGCTCATATTTTATATAACAAGCTAAAACGGCACAGACAATTTTGAACAGATTATTCAGAGACTCCCGAATATCTGACACATAAAAACCCGAAGCAAACAAAAGATGATGTAAAAATATCAAATAAATTAAAAGCAGACAAATAATAAAAAAAAATCAATTTATTCAGGAGGACACACTCGCTTGTTTATAATTCTTATAAACTTACATAAATTTATGAGATCTGTTCTATTTGTAGAAGACATAATTTCAGTAAATAGTATAACAATTGGCCTTCTATTTAAATTTTGTTTTATAAATCTATTTCTCTCTTCTATAGAATTGTGAACAATTTATAATGTAATGGAATCATCCCCGATGTCTAGATGGCATAAATTACTCTTTCTATTTTCCCTTTCTATATTGAACCATCTTCCAAGTTCGACTGGAAGTTTATGGTTACATATTCTAAATTTACACCAAGTCAAAAAATCTTTTTCGTCTAAAATATTAAAATATTCTTCGAAAAAACAAGAATCAAATAATAAAAAAATGAGCTTCGTCGGATAGAAGTCAACCTTATGCAAGTGCACGTATAAGACTTCAATTGATTTTGGAACATTCAAATACGAAATAGAAGGTGAATTTGGTCTGATTTGTAGGGTTCTTATATCAACTAAATTTTAAAATAGTTACAGTCTTTGTGTAGAAATTTTTTCAACCCAAAACAGCTCAAATAAAACTACACCCCCTAAAATAATAAACTTTTAAAGAGTACAACCCAACCCAAAACATATTACAAAACAAAAATGGTACTCATTACTATAATTTCAATCGTTAGAACTCAACTGAAGTTAAGGAAATTACTAAAAACTAAGTTGATTAATTAGTGAAAAAACCCACTAAATCTGGAAATAATAACATGAAAAACAACAAGACTCATAAAATTGAGAATGGAAATGGGGAATGTGTCAAAGAGACACTGACCAACCCGACCATAGAGCAGACAACAGCCGAAGGCCATCAATGGGTCTTCAATGCAGCGAGAAACTTGAAAGAACTCTTCAATTCTATCAAATCATATTAACCATGATATTTCTATTTCACGTATCTCTTGAACAATAGGGGACCTCGGTGGCCGAGTGGTCGAAGTAGTCGAACTACTGTATCACTAGCCAGTCAACACTGAGGTTGTGAGTTCGAATCCCGCACTTGCTGGGTGCACTCAACTCCAATCTTAATTGACTAGGATTGTCAGTTTTCCTACCGAAGGTCGGTGGTTCTCTCCGGGCACTCCGGCTTCCTCCACCAGTATACACTGACTACCACGAAATAGCACAATAGTGTTAAAAGTGTTGTTAAAACACCAATCAATCAATCAATCAATCAATCAATCTTGAATAATAGTAAATGTATATGCCGATATGTAATTCAATAACGATTACAATATACGTTCATCACGGTAGTTTGAATAAATATGTTTGAAACATGCGAATTGAATTAAATTATTAACAATTGGCCTTCTATTTAAATTTTGTTTTATAAATCTATTTCTCTCTTCTATAAAATTGTGAACAATTTATAATGTAATGGAATCATCCCCGATGTCTAGATGGCATAAATTACTCTTTCTATTTTCCCTTTCTATATTGAACCATCTTCCAAGTTCGACTGGAAGTTTATGGTTACATATTCTAAATTTACACCAAGTCAAAAAATATTTTTCGTCTAAAATATTAAAATATTCTTCGAAAAAACAAGAATCAAATAATAAAAAAATGAGCTTCGTCGGATAGAAGTCAACCTTATGCAAGTGCACGTATAAGACTTCAATTGATTTTGGAACATTCAAATACGAAATAGAAGGTGAATTTGGTCTGATTTGTAGGGTTCTTATATCAACTAAATTTTAAAATAGTTACAGTCTTTGTGTAGAAATTTTTTCAACCCAAAACAGCTCAAATAAAACTACACCCCCTAAAATAATAAACTTTTAAAGAGTACAACCCAACCCAAAACATATTACAAAACAAAAATGGTACTCATTACTATAATTTCAATCGTTAGAACTCAACTGAAGTTAAGGAAATTACTAAAAACTAAGTTGATTAATTAGTGAAAAAACCCACTAAATCTGGAAATAATAACATGAAAAACAACAAGACTCATAAAATTGAGAATGGAAATGGGGAATGTGTCAAAGAGACACTGACCAACCCGACCATAGAGCAGACAACAGCCGAAGGCCATCAATGGGTCTTCAATGCAGCGAGAAACTTGAAAGAACTCTTCAATTCTATCAAATCATATTAACCATGATATTTCTATTTCACGTATCTCTTGAACAATAGGGGACCTCGGTGGCCGAGTGGTCGAAGTAGTCGAACTACTGTATCACTAGCCAGTCAACACTGAGGTTGTGAGTTCGAATCCCGCACTTGCTGGGTGCACTCAACTCCAATCTTAATTGACTAGGATTGTCAGTTTTCCTACCGAAGGTCGGTGGTTCTCTCCGGGCACTCCGGCTTCCTCCACCAGTATACACTGACTACCACGAAATAGCACAATAGTGTTAAAAGTGTTGTTAAAACACCAATCAATCAATCAATCAATCAATCAATCTTGAATAATAGTAAATGTATATGCCGATATGTAATTCAATAACGATTACAATATACGTTCATCACGGTAGTTTAAATAAATATGTTTGAAACATGCGAATTGAATTAAATTATTAACAATTGGCCTTCTATTTAAATTTTGTTTTATAAATCTATTTCTCTCTTCTATAAAATTGTGAACAATTTATAATGTAATGGAATCATCCCCGATGTCTAGATGGCATAAATTACTCTTTCTATTTTCCCTTTCTATATTGAACCATCTTCCAAGTTCGACTGGAAGTTTATGGTTACATATTCTAAATTTACACCAAGTCAAAAAATCTTTTTCGTCTAAAATATTAAAATATTCTTCGAAAAAACAAGAATCAAATAATAAAAAAATGAGCTTCGTCGGATAGAAGTCAACCTTATGCAAGTGCACGTATAAGACTTCAATTGATTTTGGAACATTCAAATACGAAATAAAAGGTGAATTTGGTCTGATTTGTAGGGTTCTTATATCAACTAAATTTTAAAATAGTTACAGTCTTTGTGTAGAAATTTTTTCAACCCAAAACAGCTCAAATAAAACTACACCCCCTAAAATAATAAACTTTTAAAGAGTACAACCCAACCCAAAACATATTACAAAACAAAAATGGTACTCATTACTATAATTTCAATCGTTAGAACTCAACTGAAGTTAAGGAAATTACTAAAAACTAAGTTGATTAATTAGTGAAAAAACCCACTAAATCTGGAAATAATAACATGAAAAACAACAAGACTCATAAAATTGAGAATGGAAATGGGGAATGTGTCAAAGAGACACTGACCAACCCGACCATAGAGCAGACAACAGCCGAAGGCCATCAATGGGTCTTCAATGCAGCGAGAAACTTGAAAGAACTCTTCAATTCTATCAAATCATATTAACCATGATATTTCTATTTCACGTATCTCTTGAACAATAGGGGACCTCGGTGGCCGAGTGGTCGAAGTAGTCGAACTACTGTATCACTAGCCAGTCAACACTGAGGTTGTGAGTTCGAATCCCGCACTTGCTGGGTGCACTCAACTCCAATCTTAATTGACTAGGATTGTCAGTTTTCCTACCGAAGGTCGGTGGTTCTCTCCGGGCACTCCGGCTTCATCCACCAGTATAAACTGACTACCACGAAATAGCACAATAGTGTTAAAAGTGTTGTTAAAACACCAATCAATCAATCAATCAATCAATCAATCTTGAATAATAGTAAATGTATATGCCGATATGTAATTCAATAACGATTACAATATACGTTCATCACGGTAGTTTAAATAAATATGTTTGAAACATGCGAATTGAATTAAATTATTAAAGTAAGAACTAGAAAATCGTTTGGAAAAAAAAATGAAACCTTGTATACACAAGGTTAGGGAGCTACCATTTGATTTTTATGGGGGGGGGTCTAGGATGAAAAATGTTTTCCTGCATTTTTTTCAAGTGTAATCTCTGTCCTGCTTTTTTATTTTTCACTCTATTCGGTCCTGCCTTTTTTATTAGATTATCCTGACTTTTTGTACATAAATTGTCATCCTGCCTTTTTTTTTTGCCAAGTTGCTCATCCTGCCTTTTTTTTTACTCAAAACTTCTGTCCTGCCTTTTTTTTCTAATTTCATCCTAGCCCCCAGATAAAAATCAAATGGTTGCTCCCTTATGGAATGTCACATTGTAACAAAACCAATTGTTTGCTTATAGGGAAAATTGAGATTATCGTTGTTGAACAAAAGGGCTACCAACCAGGTATGTTATATATGAATAATGAGATGTGATATAAATGCCATTGAGACAACTATCTATCAGAGACTAAACATCAGTAAGTCGTCGTATGGCCTTCACTAATCAGCAAAAACTGTAGCGTATAGTAGGCTGTAAAAGGCCCAAGCATGACAAATTTGTGAAACAATTTCAAAGAGAAAACCAAAAACTATTATTAAAGCAAAACAAATATTGGAGACAGCAACAAGCGACAACTACTGAATTACAAAAACATAATAGTCCGTTTGACAACTATAATTCTACAGAATTTAAAAAACATAACATGAATAAAAAAATCAGCATTTATTTTCTGATCATGCTGATAGATACAAAATCAGACAATGATTAAAATGTGTATTCTACGTATTTTTGTTTTGTTGTGTGTGTTTAAAATAAAACAAAAACAAAAACAAAAGAGAATTTTGTAATGTCTGTTTTATTTTGTCATGTGAGTTTTATCATTAAAATTTAAAAGACACCAATACATGTTACAATTGACCATACCATTGGAATTTTGACCGCATTGATTATGAATGCTGTTCTTTTATCACATAAATATACAATTAAACGTGGAAATATAAACATTATGACGTAGTAGAAAAAGAGTTAACAATTTGTTCTTGAATTTCATTTTGTGACTTTCTTTCTGTTATCGAAAGAGTTGCATACTATTCAGTGCTTATTGTCAAGTGAACTGTTACTTTGCCTTTTAAAATGTTTTTGTGTTTGTAACACAGACTCCAAACTATAATGCCAGTCCAAACCTAACCTTCAAATGACTTCCTTTTCGTTATTTAGTTGTACCAAGATGAAAACCACTAGAAAAACATGGATAGTGCAAATTTAATGAAGACTCGGTGTATCTTTATTTTATGAAACATAGACACTGAATCGTCTGTATAAAAATGCATATTGATATTCGTTTTATTTTGCAGTAAAAGAACAAAATCAGTACCCGTACCAGTAAAGTTTATACCTTGTAAGTAAGCATATTTAGCATCAATAACATGTCGTCTGCGTGAAATCACCTGACCATAGGTTTAAGCATGGTGAGGGGGTAAAAAAAGTGTGGTCAAACTTTTGGAAATCTGTTGAAGTCATACCATTATCCTACTCTTCCTTGGAGACAGACTGGGCTGATGCATAGACAGATGTCACGTGATAAGACCTTTTCAACCTCCACATTGAAACAACCGCTATTTCACAGAATCTCGTACTGCATCCCCTCATAATCAAATGTCACGTGATACAACTGTTTCAACCTCCACATTTAAACAACCGCTATCTCCCGGAACCCCGTACAGTTGAAAACAACACATAACCTTTGTCAATAAATACAATGTGTGTCGACATATAATGCCAACATAATTACTCATGCGTAACTCCGATTCCTTGTCTGTGTTTGGCTTTACGTTTCGTACTTTTTAGTTTTTTCAGCTCTTCAACGTTTTCACAAGTGTTTGGTCTTTCAAATATGTTGACCTCAAGCATCACTTAAGACACATTGATTGACGAAATCCACATCTAGTGCATTACATTTGTACTGTTAATGTTTTTGATACACTTTATAAATTTGGTACGTCCGAAGCGCTTTTCAAGTTTACCTTATCAGACGCACACAAAAACCAAAATATTAAAAAGCCGGGATGAATAAATACTTGAGACACTATACGAACAAAAATGTTTTGAATAGAATAGCTAAGCCCATTCATGGTCAACTTGCCCTTAACTTCTGAATAATTTGAAAGAAAAAAAATGTTATGTCATGCAGTGACGAATTTTTATATTTTTCAGATAGTCTGAAAACAGGACAAACACTTGCATGTGATTTGGATCGACAACATAAAGCAGGAAGATATTGTCTCTATATCGGATATTATATTTTAAACTGTTATAATAAAAACAATACACTATCTTGTTTTACTTACGTCATTATGTTTAGACCACCATATTACACAATGCAGATTTTACAGAGTACAAACATGGGAACAAAGAACTTACAAATATCCCAGTGTGGTCACAGTAGTTGTTTTAGCAACCTCTTTTTTGCTGGTCCTTTTCGGAGTTTTGTTTTAAAGGCAGATGTGTTTCAAGGCTTGTTATGCACGAAAAAAATGTTATCTGAAATTTGATAACATGCAGAATCAAAATTATTTTATTCCATAATTCAAAGTTTACTTACTATGTTGATCGTATCTTTCCCTTTGAACTTAACACAAGGAATAAAACCACTAATCCATAGCCCCGTTGCTTTCTATGTTAAATTCTGCAATTTCTAGCAGTAACTTTGTCCTATGTTCAAATAAAGTGGCAGTCATTTCATGTTAAAACTATACTTTATCCTGACTTGTGCTAAACAAATTTAACATAGTTTTACCTTCAATTGCATATTAGAGCGCACTGGTTCCTGGAAGTTTTGTAGTACAAGAACATGTACTCCTGATCTGAACAACAGGGCAAATGTGCCCTCTTAATATAATTTCATATAGTTCTTTTATTATTCAAAAGACCCTTTCAACTAGGGTTCTATAGTGATTCCAAGTCCGTTCTGATAACAAAATTACCCAAATATTTTACTTATTAACAAAGCACATCTTTCCTGTATGTTTTTTTTTCTGACCGGGACCAAATTTAATTTAGTGGTTCTATACCACATGGCATAAAAAAACTTCCTAGACAGATACCTAGAAATAAAAGGTGAGATATGTGTGAGAACTAAAACTTTATGACAGAAGAGGTTTCTTAAAGTGTCCCTCTTTGGCTTTTCATTTTTATGTAGCATCATTTACATAATTATGAAGAATATATCTCCAAGTTGTTACGGTATTCTTGAGCTTATGTTTGTATCACAGTTCTTAAATAGAGGGATGACGGTTATTAATACAAGAAGCTACCTAGCCAAAGGTATATCATGGTAGAATTGAAGTCATCAAAAGTTATGTTTAGGCTATCATGACTGTTTACCATTACGATTCACCTTTTTAAATGATAAAGTTAAAGTTATTTTACAAAAGTTTTACACATTTTGTAATCATAACTTTTGACTGTATTATCGTGATATATATATTTTTTTTAATTTTTTTTTAATTTTTATTTTACAAATCAATGTACATACATGTATATATTGAAGAGATGCAGATCTACATTTTTCAGAAAACGAAATTGATGCGAGATATAGTAGAAATATGAAAACAGATCTTACTTAGCTATTTAGGCAGCAACCATTTAACTTCGGGGAGATGGGGTTATGGTTTTTTTGTCTGAGTCAGAAATGTTTTTCTTCAGTTTTTCGACTCTATTCAATGTATGTGAAGTTAGCAGCCGGTTCGTTATTCGATATTCGATATTCAATATCCAACCGACTGCTAGCAGTTGGTTGGATATTCAAAATTTAGTTGAAAATCATAAAAAAATTAAATACTTGATAACATTAAAAGCACGATTTTCATAGTTAAGAGGACTGATAAGATCCGTAGGAAATCGTTTAATGACCTCTTCGAATATAAACCCTTTTCTAAGTTGCATATTTGTTTTTATGTAATATAGATTTTTATCAATAAAACAACTTCAAATATGTACTTTTATATATGATATTTCTTAAAACAAAAAGAAAAAACCTATAACTCTAGAAACATTTAGAAATATAAATAGAAATATTTATGGAAAGCCCAAAAAAAGAAATATATAGTGAAAACCTACCGAAGACCGCTTAAATGAGGGTGAGACCCCCTGGTCTTTCAATGTCCATAAAATTCAACTTGATCATAGACTCTGTATATGTAAAGGTTGTATTAGAAGGATTTTCCAGAATAATGTCATCTTCGATATCTACGGAGGGCTTAGATTGTCACTTTTCATCTAAAAATTGTCAAAATTTTAGGACAAAGGGCACAGGGCATGGGTGAGAGCCCCCTGATCTCTTAATCTTTCTAATATTATGCAGACATTTAGTTAATAGGTAGATACAAACGTGACTAAAAGGAATTTGGGTACACTTCTTGTCTTCCATGTTTACGGAGGGCCCAAAGTGCCAGTTGGATATTCAAAATATATAGTGAAAACCTACCTGAGACCGCTTAAATAAGGGTGAGACCCCCCTGGTCTTTCAATGTCCATAAAATTCAACTTGTTCATAGACACTGTATATGTAAAGGTTGTATTAGAAGGATTTCCCAGAATAATGTCATCTTCGATATCTACGGAGGGCTTAGATTGTCACTTTTCATCTAAAAATTGTCAAAATTTTAGGACAAAGGGCACAGGGCAATGGTGAGAGCCCCCTGATCTCTCAATCTTTCTAATATTATGCAGACATTTACTTAATAGGTAGATACAAACGTGACTAAAAGGAATTTGGGTACACTTCTTGTCTTCCATGTTTACGAAGCGCCCACAGTGCCAGTTGGATATTCAAAATATATAGTGAAAACCTACCTGAGACCGCTTAAATGAGGGTGAGACCCCCCTGGTCTTTCAATGTCCATAAAATTCAACTTGATTACAGACACTGTATATGTAAAGATTGTATTAGAAGGATTTCCCAGAATAATGTCATCTTCGATATCTACGGAGGGCTTAGATTGTCACTTTTCATCTAAAAATTGTCGAAATTTTAGGACAAAGGGCACAGGGCAATGGTGAGAGCCCCCTGATCTCTTAATCTTTCAAATATTATGCAGACATTTAGTTAATAGGTAGATACAAACGTGACTAAAAGGAATTTGGGTACACTTCTTGTCTTCCATGTTTACGGAGCGCCCAAAGTGCCAGTTGGATATTCAAAATATATAGTGAAAACCTACCTGAGACCGCTTAAATGAGGGTGAGACCCCCCTGGTCTTTCAATGTCCATAAAATTTAAATTGATCATAGACTCTGTATATGTAAAGGTTGCATTAGAAGGATTTCCCAGAATAATGTCATCTTCGATATCTACGGAGGGCTTCGATTGTCACTTTTCATCTAAAAATTGTCAAAATTTTAGGACAAAGGGCACAGGGCAATGGTGAGAGCCCCCTGATCTCTCAATCTTTCTAATATTATGCAGACATTTAGTTAATAGGTAGATACAAACGTGACTAAAAGGAATTTGGGTACACTTCTTGTCTTCCATGTTTACGGAGCGCCCAAAGTGCCAGTTGGATATTCAAAATATATAGTGAAAACCTACCTGAGACCCTTAAATGAGGGTGAGACCCCCCTGGTCTTTCAATGTCCATACAATTCAACTTGATCATAGACTCTGTATATGTAAAGGTTGTATTAGAAGGATTTCCTAGAATAATGTCATCTTCGATATCTACGGAGGGCTTAGATTGTCACTTTTCATCTAAAAATTGTCAAAATTTTAGGACAAAGGGCACAGGGCATGGGTGAGAGCCCCCTGATCTCTCAATCTTTCTAATATTATGCAGACATTTAGTTAATAGGTAGATACAAACGTGACTAAACGGAATTTGGGTACACTTTTTCTCTTCCATGTTTACGGAGCGCCCAAAGTGCCAGTTGGATATGCAAAATATATAGTGAAAACCTACCTGAGACCGCTTAAATGAGGGTGAGACTCCCTGGTCTTTCAATGTCCATAAAATTCAACTTGATCATAGACTCTGTATGTGTAAAGGTTGTATTAGAAGGATTTCCCAGAATAATGTCATCTTCGATATCTACGGAGGGCTTCGATTGTCACTTTTCATCTAAAAATTGTCAAAATTTTAGGACAAAGGGCACAGGGCATGGGTGAGAGCCCCCTGATCTCTCAATCTTTCTAATATTATGCAGACATTTAGTTAATAGGTAGATACAAACGTTACTAAAAGGAATTTGGGTACACTTCTTGTCTTCCATGTTTACGGAGCGCCCAAAGTGCCAGTTTGATATTCAAAATATATAGTGAAAACCTACCTGAGACCGCTTAAATGAGGGTGAGACCCCCCTGGTCTTTCAATGTCCATAAAATTCAACTTGATTATAGACTCTGTATATGTAAAGGTAGTATTAGAAGGATTTCCCAGAATAATGTCATCTTCGATATCTACGGAGGGCTTAGATTGTCACTTTTCATCCAAAAATTGTCAAAATGTTAGGACAAAGGGCACAGGGCAATGGTGAGAGCCCCCTGATCTCTCAATCTTTCTAATATTATGCAGACATGTAGTTAATAAGTAGATACAAATGTGACTAAAAGGAATTTGGGTACACTTCCTGTCTTCTATGTTTACGGAGGGCCCAAATCTAAGCCCTCCGTAGATATCGGAGATGACATTATTCTGGGAAATCCTTTTGATACAATCTTTATTTATACAGAGTCTATGAATTCGTCGAATTTTATAGACATTGAAAGTTCAGGGGGATCTCACCATTGCCCTGTGCCCTTCTTCCTTAAATTTTGACAATTTGTAGCTGAAAAGTGACAATCTAAGCCCTCCGTAGATATCGAAGATGACATTTTTCTGGGACATCCTTTTGATACAATCTTCATTTATACAGAGTCTATGAATTTGTCGATTTTTAAAGACATTGAAAGAACAAGGGGGTCTCACCCTCATTTAAGCGGTCTAAGGTAGGTTTTCGATTTATATTTTGAATATCCAACTGGCACTTTGGGCCCTCCGTAAACATAGAAGAGAGGAAGTGTACCAAAATTCCTTGTAGTCACGTTTGGAACTACCTATTAACCAAATGTCTCCATAATATTAGAAAGATTGAGAGATCAGGGGGCTCTCATCATTGCCCTGTGCCCTTTGTCTTAAAATTTTGACAATTTTTAGCTAAAAAGTGACAATCTAAACCCTCCGTAGATATCGAATATGACATTATTCTGGGAAATCCTTCTACTACAACCTTAACATATACAGAGTCTATGATTAAGTTGAATTTTATGGACATTGAAAGACCAGGGGGGT